GCGCTCGCTCTCTCTCTCTCTCTTCATCTTTCTGGTGAGTGCATGCACCCTATAGCAAAAACTTCTCCAAACAAAATAAAAGATACACATCCAAAATTTATTTAATTCACCCATGAGAATGAGAGAAATAGGCACCACCAATAGGGTCCTCATCCTCTGATCCACCCCTAGTCCCAGCCAGCCAGGATCCAGGGCATACTTGCACATGTCCGGCATGCACAGGAAGACCTTGGGATGTGAACCTGAGACCTCTCCTGTGGCCTCAGCACCTTGGAGCCCTGCGTTACCTCAGCCTCTGCAGCTGGCCTCTATTTGTCTATTTTGAATAATTGAATGTTACGTGCCTTTGAAATGTGATCAGATTTCTGCACGTATTGATTTTTTATGAAGGTTTACAATTTTAGGGGTAAGCACTAAACTTATCATTCTGTGCTGTTTCTCTTTAACTACAGACCCTGCTACATGGAAAAACTCAAGACACCTTTCTAAAGGTTTCCTTTCTCCACTTGTTTTGGACCCTTCTTTTCCTATTATGCCTGCATGTGTGCTTATATCCTCCTACAGGCTGCGCGCATTGTTTTTCCGTCCGTTTTTATTTGCCTACCCACATTGATTGCAGGTTTTAGTGATTATTACTATCTTTTTGGCATTGCATCAGAATGCAAGCTTTTGTGGTGGTGAATATAATTTATTTTATTTTTATTTTCAAAAACATGCTTGTCAAGCCAGGCCTCTTTTATATGATAAGGTAAATTTAAAACACCCCTTTGGTGTGTAGTACTTGCCCTTGTGAGTTCTGTTCACCTAGATTACTCCAGTCCTCCAATGAGACTTCTTGGAAGAAGGTACTAAGCTTCAAGTAGGTGAGCATTTTACTTGCAAAAAGGATCCAGTTTTATTTACCATTATTCTACCAAAGAATTGATCCACCTTTCCCTCACTAAATATTTATCTGAATATCTTATAGTCATTTTCATTTTGATTTCAGGTGGCTGATGTGCATTATCCAAAAAACTGATTTAAGACATTTTAAACCTTTGAATTTGGCAAAAGCAAAATAGCTGTGTTCGGGGGAGGTAAAGTTAGATTACCTTTCTACAATGGAACATTTCAGGTGTTTCTGGGAGAAACAGAACAAAACTTGCTCTCTGACTTTCAGACACAGAGTGCACACAGTATGCTTTTCTTTTTTCAGCAAGTGCAGAGGAACAGACCTGTGATTAGAAACCTGGAGCGTGGCAACTCCACATAGTGCATGTATCGGGGCTTTGGTTTTTCTTTTCCTCCATTTTATTTCTTTTCCACCTCCAGTTCCAAGGGCAACATAGTCTTGACTTTGGGGGGAATATCACCTTGAAAGTGCATGTAAGTTACAAAGTCGGTAGCTCCACACCACTGAGAGATCTCTTTAAAGGAATAGCAAATTGTGACTTTATAGGTAACCAACAGGAAATCAAATTTTTTAAAAATGGAAAAATTAGTTGCTTTGGCCATATATATGAATTTTTACCTTGAGTTGTGTATATAAATCGGTTAAATATGCTTTTTGCATTACTCAGTTGGATTCTTTTTCTTCTTGGCTATTAATTGAATACTTGCATCAGAAAAACTGCTTTTATGTGTAAGATGTTTAAATAAATATATACCTTTTACAATAATGTAACTATATACAAAACAGGAAGTGAACAGTTTTATTTATTGTATCTAGATTTCAAATGGTGGGAAGACCTGTGAGCGACTTTACCTGAAGTTAGTGATGTTTTTGAAATACATGATACAATATTTAAGCACAAAAGTATAATTTAACAGAACTTAAAATACTTATTCATTTGTAGTTAATGATGAAATAGGAACAAATAATAATGTGTTTTGTTGCCTTTTTGAATTCCTAACATAAAGATGAAAAGTAATTTCCGTAGTTTCCAATAAATGAGTTTTTCTTTTTTTCAGGGGTAGAAGCAGAAGAATGGGGTAAATTTCTTCACACCAAAAATAAGGTAATCACATAATATGAAAAAATAATTTCAAAGTAAGTTTTGTATTGGTTGATAATTGCAAGTATGTTATTCTGGACTTTCTTTTGTTTTCTCAGTTTACTTATTTATTTTTTCCATATTGGGGAGGCAAGCCCCCATTAGGATCTCCACACCACCATCCATTCCCAGCCAGCTAGGATTGTAGGCATGCACACAGAAGGGAGACCTCAAGACTCAAATTCAGGATCTCCCCTTGTGACCCCAGCACTGTGGAATGTGACATTACCACTACACCACTGTCCTACTGTGGTTGGCCTGTTACGTTGTTTTAAAGCATCTGGTTTTTGTAAAAGAAGTCTTAGTAACATTTCTAACCTCAATAGTTTATTTGAAAAACATTTTAAGTTGAACTCAATTTCTCTAATTTGGAAATTCTTAACTGTTGTGTGGTTTAGGTAAATATGAAAAGCTTATAAAAACTAAATCTGGGATGACCTGGTAGCTTAGTAGTTAAGGGAGCCAGATCCCACATGGCTGACCATAGTTTTGTCCAAGCTCAGGCAGCTTGAGAAACATGTAGGGCACGTGTGCCTACCATCCTGATGGGAGGGAAGAGTGGAGGAGGAGGGATTGCAGTGTGGCCATGCCCCATTGGGGGGTGCTTTCTGTCTGTCTATCTGTCTCTCTCTCTCTGCTGAGCACACACACACTCTGGCAACATAACAATTAATAAATAAATAAATACTATGAATCATATCACCTTTCTCTTTTTCAAAAAACATAAAAAAACATGATTGTAAACACTAGAATTTGTTACTAATTCTCTGAAGCAAAGTCATAGACATTCTTGAAATATATGGATATACAGGCCCCCCTCCCCCACTTAAAAACATTGGATCTTATTTTGTGTTTTTGTTTCAATATTTTTAGCTTTACACAGATTTTGATGAAATTCGACAAGAAATTGAAAATGAAACAGAAAGAATTTCAGGAAATAATAAGGTAGGCATCTTTAAGAGTTGGAAAGTGTAAATATCAGAAAATTTATCAAGTGTGTTCTATATATAATGTGTGAGGGCACTATAAGTTCAAAATCGTGGTTTTGAAACAAATGGAGTATTTTCACAACTGTATTAAAACTTGCTTAAAGTTCCTTTTATTTCTCAGGGCTTTTATGTTTTTCATATAGATGTTCCATTTAAATGTTTATTCTTGATCCTGTCATATACATGCCACTTTATTATATAATTCTATTTAATGCTGTTATAATATTATCTCTTTCTGATAGATTTATTATTCTCTAACTCTGGATGCATTATATAATGTATGACAGACATGTATGAAGTAAGGCTAGATTTATTTATGAAAGAAAAAGAAAAATTAAGTAATTTCAAAGGAGAGATGAAAAGTAATTCATCAGTCATGATTATTTCCTAAGATGATGATGTGAGAGTTTAAAATAAATCAGATGTCTAAGATACTGGTAATCTTGACATCAGGCACCACCATTACTCATCTAAATCCTTCTGTTTTCTCTTCTTTTTTTGTTTTTATTACTTCTCTCTTTTTCTCTCCTTTTTGGTTTTACCTTCATTTTTATATTTTCCAGAGGCACATTTAATCCCACAACTGGGTCCTAGCCTAGTTCTAACACTCAGCATGTATTTATTGAGCTCCGGTATCTGCCAGATACTGTGCTACAGAGGTTATTAATATTTCCTGACAAAAACACTTCTGGAGCCTTGTTAAGTCATTATACCTGGGCAGGATACTAATCTCTATTTGAGTGACCAACTGAGCTTTGCTCATTATTGAACTCCAGGCTGGTAACTTCTGACGTGACTGCTACCTCTGCCATGCTGCCCACATTTTTGTATAACCATGTTACAGAGAAAAGAGAAAAAGTGGCCAGAAACTACATTAGCTTCTCCTTAGTCCTATATAAGGAATAATTTTGGTTTTGAGGATGTTATTAATTACAACACCTAATTATAACACCAGCCCAAATGATCTTTCCTGAAATCCCCATGTATTTATTGAACTCAGCATTGGTGATAATTTTACATAGTACCACAATTTAGAAAGAAAGTGAGACTGTGGTGATTTAGAAATGAAAGTTTTCAGCTACACTAAACTGAATGTCATAAAACATTGAGTCTATATGGCTATAAGCTGCTTCAATTTTGCTAAAGATAGAATTCCCAGAATGTGTTCATCCACAGTGTCTCAAAGATGAAAAAAGCTTACAAACCCAAACATATGGAAAAAAAATCTTCTCTGTTAAATCATTTTGATAATGAAGCAAGTGATTATTTGATCTTATATAATTTCAATTCCCTGAAGGATTTGAAATATCAAATCCTTAGACTGGAGTTGTAAGGTGTTTGGACGAAAGTTTGTACTGGACATGACAAGGGAATGCAATGGCAATAAAGAGCCTGAAAAATACATCTTAGAGAGGCATGCCAGGTATCAACACTTAATGACTTCAGAACACTGGAGTATTTCAGATAGAAAAGTAGTTCAGAGTAACATAATACAGCAAATTTAATTGTACAGGGGATTCAAAGTAAAGGATATTCCAAAAGAGCTTCCTGGAAAATGAGAATTTACTGTGGGTTTAATAAAGGAAATTTAAGGTGGATAAACAGAGGAGAGAACATATTAAAGGATGAAGAAGAATATGTACAAAGCCAGGATATGAACGTATCATAAGTGTCTTTTTATATGTAAATGGCATAATTCTAAAACTTGTAGAGGGCCAGTGGTGAAGAGGAGGGAGTCTACAATATTTATAGAAAATATCAATAAAATAAAAATAAAATACAAAATTCAAAGAAAATACAAATATCTCGAGATTCAGATAAATTTTCTGAATAATCCCTTACTATTCATATCTTGCCACTTGGTATTCAGTGATCAAGAACCAACTTAATTTGGATAGCTTGCTCTCTGTGCCTTATTTTCTGAACTCAGGAACCTCATAAATTTGGATAGTAAGTAATTCTTTGGTTCATCACTTAAGTCTACTGAGCATATTTAAGAAATGATAAAAGATTCGAATCAGGAGAAAAGAATGTGAAATGATACAGAGAAAGTGAATTGCTTATGTTAATGCCGGGGGTTGAGTAGGGTTATGACCAGTTATATAGCTGGCTGCCTTACTCTCACTTGCTCATCAGGTTTTGATTGTTGCAATGTTTCGGGGTGATGCTTTAGTTCATATGTAAAAGCATCTACTTTGATATTTTGTTGAAGTTCTAATGTGATTTTAATGTAATATATTAAAACTTATTTTTAGGGAGTAAGCCCTGAGCCAATTCATCTTAAGATTTTTTCACCCAATGTTGTCAATTTGACACTTGTGGATTTGCCAGGAATGACCAAGGTAAGGAATAACTGTTACTCTTTTGGATGTAGTTGTTTTTACTTGAACAAATATAGTCTTCCCTTAATCCCATAGAGGTTCAGCTTCTTTTTGGAATCACACTTAATCTATTAGAAGCGTTTGATATAGTTGAGCCTAACTTTTACCTCTGAAGCACTTTAATTTACCTGGCTTCCAAGATACTACACTGCAGGATTATCTCCACTCTCACTGGCCACTCCTCCGTCTCCTTTGCTGGTTCCCTCTCATCTCCCCAGTGTTGAACAGTGAGTGTTCCAGGACTTAGTTTTTGGACTGCTTGTCTTTGCTAAGTAGTACACTTATCCCTTTGATTTCATCCAATCTTATAACTTTAAATACATGAGTGTCAGTATTTTGATGTCATGCAAATATCTCCACACTTGTATACCCAACTGTCTAGTTGACATATACACTTAAAATTTAAAGGTGTTTCAGATTTTACATATCTAATACTAAATTCCTGACCTGTCCCTCAGCGAGATTTGACCCTTCTATAGTCTCCCCCACCTCAATAAATGGCATCTCTATTCTACCAATTGCTTAGCCAGTTTGCAGTCATCCTTGACACTTTTTTTAAAAAAAAATTTAAGAATTATTTTATTTAACTTTTGTTTTTCCTCATTTATTTTTAATTTTGACCAGAAAGGGGCAGAGTGAGAGAGCAAGACAGAGGGAACGTGAGAAAACAAGCTACCAGGTCTGGAACTTGAACCACAGTCAGCCATGTGAGAGTCCAGAGCCCTTACCCACCATGCCACCTGCCACCCCAACACTTCCTTATCAAGAAGTTCTGCTTCTTGTCAGCAAGTCCTCTTGGTGCATCTTACCTTTACAGTATACCCAGAACTTTGTCATGCCTTACAAATGATGATATAGCCACTGTTACCTTACCTGGATTACTTTAATAATAATGAATAACAAGATTAACAGGTCTTCCTCATACCTGTTCTTAATCCAGCAGCCATAGTGATGCTATTAAAGTGATAACTGGATTATATTATTATTCCTGGGCTTGAAACCTCCCATCTGCTTCCTATTTCACTCAGAGTAAAACCCTAACATCTTATAGAAACTTAAGGAATCTACTTGATGTGTTCCTATTATTATTTTATTTTTCCTTAAGAGAGATTTTCGCTATAGGGCATGTGTGTTTGCTGGACAGACAGAGAGAGAGAAAGCAAGATATCACCCCCCACCCCCTCCCAGGAGGATGGCCAGCTACAATCCCTTCTCCTCCATTTTCCTCTTGGGATTTTGGGCATGTACGCACACACACCTGGCGTGTGTTTTAAGCCACTGGATCCATGACTTGAACCATGGTCAACTATGTGGCTGTCTAGTGAGGTAACCATTTTGCCATCTTCTGGTCTCATATTCTTTTCCTTATTTCTTCTACTCCAGCTTCCTGTCCTTATTAGTTTACTCTGCCTGGGACATTCTTCCCCCCATGTGTCTGTATGTACTTCTCCATTATTACCTTTAACTTCTGCTCACTGTCTCAAATGTCATTGTCTCATGTCTTCCCTGATTATTTAAAAATATAATGTAAAATATTAACTTAAAATCATAATATTGGATCATTGGAGAAGTCATCATGTATTTTGGAATAGAAAAATACGTCATGACTTTTCCAATGACCCAGTAATTTCTAATCATTCCTTTGCCTGCTGTTCTGCTTTATTTATTTTTCCCTTTATATGAGAAGGGGGTAAGGGAACAAGAGAAGGGGACAGAGACAGAAAAAGGCATCCTTGGGGATAAGCAGATGGTCTAATGGTTACGTTGTCAGATTCCCACGTGGTCGACTGCATTTTGAGTCCTGGACCTGGCAGCTTAAAACTCATGCTGGGCATGTGTGCATGCGTGCTCAAAATCCTGAGAAGAGATGGAGAAGAAGCGATTGTGGCATGGCCATGAGTGATTTCTTACTGTCTGCCTCTCTCTCTGTCTTGCAAGCACATGTGTCCTTTCGCAAAAATCTCTCTTAAAGGGGCTGGCAAGTGGCATGGTGGTTAAAGGCGCTAGACTCCCACATGGCCGACCACGGTTCAAGTCTCGGACCTGGTGGCTCGCTTTCTCACTTCCTCTCTCTCTCTGTCTCTCTCTGATCAAACTGGAAAATAATAATGATAATAATAATAAATAAAGTTAAATAAAATAATTCTTTAAAAAAGAAAACTCTCTTAAAAAAAAAGGAAAAGAAATAGGCATCCTTGATAGAGTCTCACCTTGCCACTCTCCTTTGTCCCAGTATCCTAATTAGCCAGGATTATAGGCAACTGCAGGCTTACCTCAAGTTTTAGGTTGTCCCAGGAACTGTGTCTAGGCCTCCCATATAGCCTCCAGCCTCCCAAGCAGTGGTGCTACCTGTGCATCACCATGGCTGGGCCTGGTTTATTTTTTCCATAGTTCGTACCACCACTTGGATACTATATGCATTTGTCTATAATATATCTCTCATCACTGAAACATAAGCTCTGTAAAGGCAAGAATTTTGGCCTTTTTTCTAACTGACTATGTTAACACAATCTGACATTTGGACAAGTGCCCTCTATAAGTAGGCTGCCAGTAACACTGAATAAATGAATTTGTTGTAAGGCAATAAAACATGGACCCATCCTTAACATGAGATCGTGTTAAATATACATTTTTGTGCAAAAGTAAACTTTTGATATTTCTAAGAGTTAGAGACTTCACACATTACCAAATTTATAAATTCCACTGTAGTATATATATACTACTAATGTCTTTATTTTAACTATTTATCAATGGAAAAATACCTATACTCTTTGTGCTAAGTGGGATGGGGGAGACTGAATTATTTTTATGATCAGCTTCTTGTTTATCTCTGTTTGATTTAGGTGCCAGTAGGTGATCAACCTAAGGATATTGAGCTTCAAATCAGAGAGCTCATTCTTCGGTTCATCAGTAATCCAAATTCCATTATCCTCGCCGTCACTGCTGCTAATACGGATATGGCAACATCAGAGGCACTTAAAATTTCAAGAGAAGTAGATCCAGATGGTAAGGACAGTTGTTAATATTTAATTAGATGTGGGGCCAGGGGGTGGCATGGTGGTTGAGGTGCTAGACTCCCACATGGCCAACTGTGGTTCGAGTTCTGGACCTGGTGGCTTGCTTTCTCACTCTCTCTCTATTGCTCTGTGTATTTCTCTCTGGTCAAATGAAAATAAATGAATAAATAAGTAAAATAAGTAAAATAAATGTTTTTAAAAAAAGTGGCTGTTTCAAAAAATAAATTATTGAGATGCTTGATTACTTGGAAATCTACCTCCAAGAAAGGAATTTTTATTTATTTATTTATTTTATTTTTTTGAGAGGTTTTTGCTATAGGGCGCGTGCACTCGCCAGACAGACAGAGACAGACAGAGAGATAGAAAGTGAGAAATCACCCCCCAGGGGGGATGGCCACGCCGCAATCCCTTCTCCTCTGTACTCCTCTCGGGATCTTGGGCATGCATGCACACACGCCCGGCATGAGTTTCAAACCACTGGGTCCGGGATGCGAACCGTGGTCGACTACGTGGGAGTCCAGTGATATAGCCACTACGCTAACTACTGGTCCCGAATTTTTATTTTAAAAAGGAGTATCTCTAGATGTTAATGTAGACTTAAAAAATGATACTTTTCTATTTTGCTTATAGTTTCAAATAGAAATTCTGATGGAAAAAGTTATGAAGTTGTCATACAGGCTAGGCAAAAATACTTCATTTTTATATTTGTAGTGATTAAGAAAGGAAAATGGCTTTGCAAAAATGGTTTCTTGTTTTTGTATAAATAAAAATGACTTGGGGTTTTTAGTGACTAACATTTCCTTTTTCTTTTTCTTTTTCATGGAAGGATTTTTTTTTTTTTTTTTTCTTTTTGAGAGAGAGATTTTTTACTATAGGGTACATGCACTTGCCGGAGAGACAAAGAAGAAAGTGAGAAATCACCCCCAAAGAGTGTTGGCCACGCTGCGGTCCCTTCTCCTCTAGTTTCCTCTTGCGATTTTGGGTATGCATGCACATGCACCCAGTGTGAGTTTTAAGCCACTGGGTCCAAGATTTGAACTGTGGTGGACTACATGAGAATCCAGCGATGTAACCATTATGCTATCTGCTGGTCCTAGGATTTTTTTTTTTTTTTTGAGAGAGATTTTTGCTTTGGGGTTCATGTACTTGCTAGAGAGACAGACAGAATGTTAGAAGTCACCCCCCAGGGGGATGGCCATGCTATAATCCCCTCTCCTCCATTCTCCACTCAGGATATTGGGCAAGCATAAATACACACCTGGCGTTGTTACAAGCCACCAGGTCTGGGACTCAAACCGCAGTCAACAATGTGGTAGTTTAGTGACGTAACCATTACATCATCTACTGGTCCCTTATAAAGCATTCTTTTTTTTTTTTTTTAATAATTATTTATTTAATTTTATTTAGTCATTATTTTAATTTGACCAGAGAGATACATAGAGAGAAAGATAGGGGAAGTGAGAAAGCAAGCCACCAGGTTCGATATTCGAACCACAGTCGGCCACGTGGGAGTGTCCAGCACCTTAACCACCAGGCCACCTGCTGGTCCCCCTTAAAGCATTCTTAACCCAAAGGATTATTTCCTACTGTGGGTCAGTGATGCTTAACTAATTATGTAGGTGCATCTCTTAGTATATATAAAATGCTAGCTCGTTTGAGAATTGTTATTGCTGTTAATAAATATATGCTTTGCCCCATAAAGAAACCATTTCTTTTTTCACCCCAGTATTTGAATGGTCTGAAGGATATGTCTTTCTGCTTTGAAGATTCTCAGAATTTAAAAAAAAACAAACTGATAGGAAATGTTATTGCTAAGGCTGCCAACTAATCCTCTAAGCAGTGTTATTTAAAATGTTTATTTCAGATTTGTAAGAACCTTTTTACTAATGAATAATATTCATTTCAGTTAGATTAAAAATAACCTATATTAAAGAGGATTTTTTTAAACTTTATTTTTATTATTTAAACCTTTAAGCATTTTATATGTATTAATACTATTTTAAACTGAACTTTGAGACATGATATGCTTTTGGTTTAGTAGTCCTAACCTAGTAATACACAGTAAGGAAATAACTCAGTATTACATATAATATCAAAAAATGAGAATTGTGGAGCCAGCAGGTGGTGTGGTGGTTAATGCACTAGATTCCCATGTGGCCAACCATGTTCTGAGTCCCAACCTGGAAGCTTGAAAAATAATGCGGGGAGATACATTAATGAGCTTACTCTTTTCTGCCTGTGGATGCTGCTAGGTTAGCATTGTTGAAGTCTCTCTTCCCACTGCCTTCATGTCTACGTCGGAGTCTCCTAAAGAGCCTGAACAACTCTGGAAACTTTATTAGAAGGTTGAGCTTTGAAACGATCAATGAGAGGGACCAGCAGATGGCATAATGGTTACGTCGCTGGTCTCCCACATAGTCAACTGCAGTCAAGTCCCAGATCTGGCTGCTTAAAACTCACGCCATGCGTGTATGCCCAAGATCCCAAGAGGAGAATGGAGGAGAAGGGACTATGACGTGGCCATTGCCCTGGGGGGTGATTTCTCGATTTCTGTCTCTTTGTCCCTGTCTGGCAAGCGAATGTGCCCTATTGAGAGCCTGAGGAGCCATTTTGAGCAACGGGGAACACTTGGGGACTGCATGGAAATGTGAGATTCAAACACCAAGCACTTGTATGCCACTGTGGAAGAGGTAGATGCAGCTGTGAATGCAAGGCGATCTAAGGTGGATGGAAGAGTTGTGGAACTAGTGAGGGCTGTCTTAAGAGAAGATTCTCAAATACTAGGTGCCCACCTAACTGAAAAAGAGCTCCGTTAGTGGCATTAAAGACCCTGAAGAACATCACCTAAGGGTTATTTAAAACAGTATGGGGAGGGACCAGCACTTAGCATAATGGCTATGTTGCTGGATTCCCATGTAGTCGACCGCAGTTCAAGTCCCGGACCCGGTGGCTTAAACTCAAGCCAGGCACGTGTGCGTGTGTGCCCAAGATCCTGAGAGGAGAATGGAGGAGAAGGGATTGCGGCGTGGCCATCCCCTCTGGGGAGTGATTTTTCACTTTCTGTCTCTATGTCTCTCTCTCTGTCTGGCAAGCGCACGTGCCCTATAGCGAAAACCTCCCCCCCCCAAAAAAAAGAACAGTATGGGGAAATTGAAATGATTGAAATCATGACTGACTGAGGCACTGGCAAGAAGAGGGGCTCTGCTTGTGTAACCTTTGGTGATCGTGACTCTGTGGATAAGACTGTCATTCAGAAATACCATATTGTGAATGCCACAACGGTGAAGTGAGGAAAGCCCTGTCCAAACAAGGGATGGCTAGTGCTTCCTCCAGCCCAAGAGGTTGAAGTGGTTCTGGAAACTTTGGTGGTGGTCAAGGAGGTGGTTTTGGTGGTAATGACAACTTTGGTTGTGGAGGAAACATCAGTGGTCGTGGTGGCTTTGGTGGCAGCCGTGCTGGTGGCAGATAGGGTGGAAGTGGGGATGGCTACAATGGATTTGGTAATGGTGGAAGTAATTCTGGAGGTGGTGGAAGCTACAGTGATTTTGGCAGTTACAACAGTCAGTCTTCAAATTTTGGACCCATGAAGGGTGGAAACTTTGGAGACAGAAGCTCTGGCCATTATGGCAGTGGAGGCCAATACTTTGCCAAACCATGAAATCAAGGTGGCTATGGCGGTTCCAGCAGCAGCAGTAGCTATGGCAGTGGCAGAAGGGTTTAATTAACTGCCAGGAAACAAAGCTTAGCAGGAGAGGAGAGCCAGAAAGTGACAGGGAAGCTACAGGCTACAACTGATATTTGTGAACTCAGCCAAGCACAGTGGTGGCAGGGTCTAGCTACTACAGGGAAGACATGCTTTACACAATACTCATGCGTATGGCAAAACATGAGGGCTGTATTTGTGACTAATTGTATAACAAGTTATTTTAGTTTCTGTTCTGTGCAAAGTATAAAGCATCCCAACAAAGAGTTTTAATGGAGCTTTTTTTGTTTTTTTGCACTCATGCTTTTGATTGCTAAATGTAATAATCTGATCATGATGCTAAATAAATGTGTCTTTTTAAAAAAAAAAAAAAAATCATTCTGAGTGTATGTGTGTGCATGCCCATAATCCTGAGAGGAGAGTGGAGAAGAGACTGCTGTGTGGCCATCCCCCGAGGGAGCAATTTTTCACTTTACCTCTCTCCTGTCTGTCTCTCTCCAGTGAGTATATCCACCCTCTGGCAAAAATCTAAAAAAAGAGAATTGATTCAATACTGCCAGCATCAAAAATGATTAAATAAATTAGATCATGATAAAACAGAAAATAATTTTAAAAGGTGGCTTTGTAGATTTGGTGCAATATAGAAAAATGCTTATGATTAGAAAATGCTATGTGTAAAATTATGTACGATGAAGAGCAGCTAGAACTTTCATACATTGCTAGTGGGAAACATGTTGGCAATTTCTTTCTATTTTTAAAGAATTATTTATTTATTTATTTATTATAATTTTTTTCACATGCATTTTTCCAGAGAGAGAGGGAGAGAGGGAGGGTGAGCAAGAAAGCAAGGCTCTAGGTCTAGGACTTGAACCATGGTCGGCCATGTGGGAATTCCAGGACCTTAACCATCAGGCCACCTGCTGGCCCCTTGACAGTTTCTTACACAGTTAAATCAGAAATTCCACTCCTAGGAATTTACCCATCTTAAATGAGAACCTATGTTTATATAAAAACCTGTACGCAAGTCTATTGTACCTTTATTCATAATTTGCAAAAACTAGAAAAAACTCAAATGTTTTTCCAAAGGAAATGAATAACCAAATTATAATGCATCCATACAATGGAACACTACCCAGAATAAAAAGGAATGAACTATAGGTAGCTCTCCAACATGATGGCTCTCAAATGCATTATGCTAAATGAAAGAGGCCAGATTCAAAGTCTTATGTATTAACTATATATTAGGTTATTGAGAAAGTAATAGCGTGTTTTCCTATGCAAAAACACATCATGACTTTCCTGACGACCCAATAATTCCATTTATGTAATAGTTTAGAAGAGGCAAAGCCAGAAAGTGGAAAATGATTTGATTGTTTAACACAAGAAAATTTAGGGGGGATGGGCCAGTAGCATAGTGGTTAAATGCTGTGCTTTGGGAACTCGATCCCACATGGCCAACTGCAGTTTGAATCCTAGCCCCAGAGGCTTGTAAAGCACTTGTGGTGTTTGCTTACCCAAAATCATGGCAGAGAGATGAAGGAAAGAGATTGCAGTACGACCATACCCCATTGGGATGTGTTTTTTTTTCTCTTTCCCCTTCTCTCTTTTTTTTCTGTAGTGAGTGCACGTGACCGCTGGAGATTTAAAAAATTGGGGAGGACAACAGAATTGTCTCCTTTAGGTGGTAGTGACATACTTCTTTGCATTTGTCAAAACTCATAAAACTGTAAATTATAAAAAAGAATAATTGTAATTTCAAGAAGGAAAAAAATGCTTTTAAAATGTTAGGTCTATGTCAGCAGGTGGCATGGTGATTAAGGTACTAGATCCCACAAGGCTGACCCCATCGCTAATGGTTTGAGTTCCATATCCTGTGGCTCAAAAAAACATGCTGGTCATGTATGCCTCCATGCCCAAAATCCCAAAAGGAGAATGGAGGAGAAGGGATTGAAGAGTGGCCATCCTCCTTTGGGGGTGTTTTCTCACTTTCCCATCTTCTCTGTCTCTGTCTCTGGTGATTGCATGCACCTTACAGAAAAAAAAAAAAAAAGTTCTAAGACATAATAAGACATTACTTAAAATATTTTTAAAAATTATATATGATGCTTAAACTTACTTACAGAGCTGGATCTGTGGCATGTGGTACTGTGCTACTTAAGAGAAGTGGGGTTCCATACAGTGACCATGGTTCAAATTTCTGGTCTGGTTGGACCGAGACATGCAGGGCGTGAGCACAAGCACGCCCGAGATCCTGGGGGCTGGAAGACTGGAGCAAGGGGATCTGGACGGGATCAGATCCTGTGGCGGGTACCCTTCTCACTCTCTTTGTCTCTCTCTCACCCTTGCCTGTCGCATGTCCATACTTTATCATGAATAAAGAAAAAAATGATTTTTAAAAACGTACTTGTAGGGAGGTCAGCAGGTGGCGTGGTGGTTAAGGACTCTGCACTCCCACATGGCTGATTGCAGTTCAAGTTCCAGACCTAGCGGCTTTTTCACTTTGCCTCCCTCTCTCTCTTGCTCTGACCCTCTATGGTAAAATTAAAAATAAATAAATAAAGTTAAATAATAATAAAAATAATAATACATTTTTTCAAAAGTACTTGTAGGTAAAGCTTAGAAAAGCATTACTATAAAGTGATGAAGCTGTTATGTCATGTGGGATTAGAGATGAGAGTTTTTTTTTTTTTTTAAATAAATACTGAACGACTTTATTAAGTGGATCATTTTCTTTCTTTTTTTGCATTCCCCAGGTCGCAGAACCCTCGCTGTAATCACTAAACTTGATCTCATGGATGCGGGTACTGATGCCATGGATGTATTGATGGGAAGGGTCATTCCAGTCAAACTTGGAATAATTGGAGTAGTTAACAGGTTAGCAATCAGGAATGAGATAAGAACTGTAGGATTCTCATTTCAGAGCAATTTGAATTTCTAAAATCATTCTGAAATGTGATATTGTCCTACTTTTTTTCCCCATTACTATCATCTTGGTATTGCTAAAGAATTCATCACTGTAAAGGGAGAAGAAGAATTCACTAAAGTCTCCTATGGACATTTTCAATAGAAAATGTTTCTAAAGTAAACAGTGCCACGTAATGGAAAACAATTTAATAGCCAGACATTAAGAGTTCTTACCGGGACCAGCAGTTGGCGTAATGGCTGTCACCGGACTCCCATGTAGTCAACTGCAGTTCGAGTCGTGGAGCTGGCGGCTTAAACTCAGGCCAGGCGCTTGTGCTTGTTTGCCCAAGATCCTGAGAGGAGAATGGAGGAGAGGGGATTGTGGCGTGGCCATCCCCTGGGGGAGGGGGAATTTCTCACTTTCTGTCTTTCTGGTGACTGCACAAACCCTATAGCAAAAACCTCTCCAAAAAAAAGAAAAAGAAAAAAAAAGAATTCTTACCTATTCTGTTAAACTATATGAGGAAGATACTGAGTAAGAAAGAAAAAGTATTATTTAATTGGCACCCAATCAAGAAGGAGTTTAAAGTGTTAAGTGGTAGGATTTTAATAGATTGGTTTAACTTGTAGCATTCGTGATTTTGTGTAACTGATATTCAACCAAGATATGACTTGGAGAAGTTTTATTAAAGGAATCCTAATTATACATAGCTGATATTAAAACTGCAAAACTGGGGACCAGCCGTTAGCGTAATGGCTATGTTGCTGGACTCCCACGTAGTCGACCGCAGTTCGAGTGCCGGACCCGGTGGCTTAAACTCATGCCAGGCGCGTGTGCTTGCGTGCCCAAAATCCTGAGAGGAGAATGGAGGAGAAGGGATTGCGGCGTGGCCATCCCCCCTGGAGGGTGATTTCTCGCTTTCTGTCTCTCTGTCTCTCTCTGTCTGGCTGGCGAGCGCATGCGCCCTATAACAAAAACCTCTCCAAAAAAAAAAAAAAACCTACAAAAGTGTTATCGAGTGTCTAATTATATTTTAGAAACTCTACTGTGAGCAATTTGCAAATGTTATCTCTAGAATCCTCGTAACATCCTGTGAGGTAGGTGTTGATGTCTACTTTATAATCAGAAAACTCAGGTACATTTACCAAAGCTGGCTAGTGCAAAGTAAGGCTGAATTCAAGAAACTATTTTTTTTTCTTTTTTTGGAGAGGTTTTTTTTGCTATAGGGCGTGTGCGCTCACCAGAAAGAGAGAGACAGAGACAGAAAGCGAGAAATCATCCCCCAGGGGGGATGGCCACGCTGCAATCCCTTTTCCTCCATTCTCCTCTTGGGATCTTGGGCACGCACGCACCCGTGCCTGGCATGCGTTTAAGCCGCCAGGTCCAGGACTCAAACCGCGGTGGACTACGTGGGGGTCTAGTGACACAGCCATTACGCTAAGTGCTGGTCCCAAGGCTGAATTCAAAGATCGTTCTTAGTCCATAGCCTTTATATGAAGGGACTTCAAAAAGTTCCTGGAAAAAAAAGGGAATTAAAATATCTTCTTATTTTGGTGTAAAATATTTTGAAATCCACTTTTTTCCACGAAATTTTTGAAAATCCTCCAAGTAGAAAAAACAAACAAAAAACAAAACAAATTATTAAGAGATCTGAGTTCTAGTCCTAGTTATTCTACAAACTCAAAACAATGTGGATTCAAATAACATTCAACCACTTTTGGTTTTAAGGCTTTTAAAATGAAAATGCCTTTACTAAGAGATTATTTAAGATTCACTTCATTTGTCAGCTTCTGTTCACATGTCCTTCCAACCTACTTCTACATATATACATATGTACACGTGGATATATATATACGGCTCCCCCAAATCTAGCTATCTCCCTTTTCAGGCAAGCAGGTGGTATAATACTATTGTGGTATTTGTAGATGACTCCTTTTCAAGTTAACTATTTTTGGTAGAAATTAGTTGCTGACCATGAGTTAAAAATGTGCAGTTGGTTAAGATACACACACACAAGAGTGAGCAGATGGTGTTGTGCTTAAGGCGCTGGACATTCCCACATGGCTAACCACGTTTGAGTCCTGGACCTGGTGGCTTACTTTCTCACTTTCTCTCTCTCTCTCGGTCTCTCTGATCAAATTAAATGAATAAATAGATAAAATGAAAATAAATAATTCTTTTTTAAAAAAAAAAAACAAGATGCACACACATATTTATTTAGATTTTTGCCATAGGGCACATGTGCTTACTGGAGAGAGAGAAAAAGAGAAAGTGAGAAATCACCTCCCAGGAGAGTTGGCCACACTGCAGTTCCTCTCCTCCATTCTCGAGCTGCTGGGTCCTGGACTCAAACCACACAGTTGGCCATATGTGATCCGGTGCCTTAACTACCATGCCACTTGCTGGTCCTGAGATACACTTATATTTTTATGCCTATCTGTAATGATACTTTAAAGTATTGCTTTTGACTATAGATAATGGTAATAAGGCCCAAACTATTTACATGTTAATTACTTTTACATCAAATAATTTGAATCTTGACTGGGCTACTTAATGTATAACCTTGGATAAATTAGTTAATCCTGCTAAGGCTCAGTTCATTGCTATAAAATGGAATGATAATCCCTGTCACATAGAAATACTGTAAAAGTTGGAGCCAGCAGGTGGCATGGTGGTTAAGGGCGCTGTACTCCCACATGGCCGACCACAGTACAAGTCCTGGGCCTGGTGGCTTGCTTTCTCACTTTCCGTCTCTCTTGTTCTCTCTCACTCTGTCCCTCTCTAGTCAAATTTGAATGAATGAATGAATAAATAAATAAGTAAAATTAAATAATCCTTAAAAAAAAATACTGTAAAAGTTAAACGAGCCATGTCCAGTGTTAGGAAACAATGCCTGTGACTGTCATCATCACTGGCATCTCTGTCATTATCTAAGCAAAGGAGAGAACTGCAATTGACTTTAGTTGAACATTTCTGTTATTTTTTAACCTCAGGAGCCAGCTAGATATTAACAATAAGAAGAGTGTCACTGATTCAATCCGGGATGAATATGCTTTTCTGCAAAAGAAATACCCATCTCTGGCTAATCGAAATGGGACAAAGTATCTTGCTAGGACTCTAAACAGGTAAGTCTTTATCTTTTAAAAATAAGATGTTTTATTTTGCCAGTAGGTGTCTGAGACAGTTTATTATCAGTTCCTTATATTTTCACACTATTTCTTACATAGAAGTTCTTGTAAAGTAGACATGTCTATTTTTATTAAGTTGGTTGACATTAAATCATGTAGTCTAGAATGCTGAAGTGAATTTTAAGATGTTTTAATTATGAAATTCACGACAGTCAATTTAGTTTGAGGCTGTAACCAGGGAGCAGATGACTTCATTTCCACTTCAGATTTTAGGAACCGAATTAAAATGTCTAATTTTTACATGGTCTATTTTTAGTTTAGGATGTCTCCTATTCTTATGCATCATAGAAACAGTTTATGCTGTATACCTTGAAGTCTGAATAACCATCGATGGTGTAGGGACTAGAATACCTTTCTAGATGATTTATACATGACTAAAGTGAAATTCTCTTATTTTTGTCTTATCACCTAAGTTATAAAAACTGATAAGATTGACTTTTACTATGCTGGGTATAGAATTGGACTGATCAGCTTACTTTCTTTGGGGAACTGTAATAATATGAAAATAATTTGCATTTAAAACATTTATAATTAGGTTAAAGCCAAATTTAAAAAGCATGGGGAGTTTCCCTGTCATTTTTTTTTTCCAGACTATTTACTTCTAAAGTTGCATTTTTTCCTGCTCTTGTGAAATAACCAAAGCATGTTTTTTTTTTTCCCCTAGTTCTCACACAGCCATTCAATATAGCATAATGTTTCTGAGACCAGGTGTTTTAGAGGTTTTTCTCATAAACCAAGTAAGAATTTCTCCAGGGTTTTAGCTGGAAATAACTCTTCAAATTAACTTATTTTTGGTAGAAATTACAGGTAAAATATACAGCCGGTATTCTCTAACTCAATTAGATTTGGACACTATTTACCTGGAGATAGCTCATATCTCACAGATTGAGGGCTCAGTCCCACGAAATGGTCTCCTCCCTTCCAGGATGTCAGCTGCAAGCACAGGTTTTGAACTGTGCTTTGAGTTTCCCACTTCCTCCTCAGTTCGATTGTTAGAGCAGCTCAAGAAACTCAGGAAATCCCTCATCTTTACTTGTTTATTATAATGGATGGTTCAGAGGATACAAACAGGTGGAAGAGACCCACAGGGCAAAGCATGTGAGAAGGGGTGTGGAGCTCCCATGCCATTTCTGGGCAAGCCACTGTTGGGAACCACCATGTGTTTGGCTCTCTGGAAGTTTGTGACCTCTGTCCTTTGAGGTTTTATGGAAGTTTCAGTGTGGGCATGGCTGATTATACCCTGAGCCAGCGGTGATCAACTCTACCTCTAGCCTCTCTCCCTTCCCTGGGCTTTGGAGAATGGGGCTAAAAGCCTCAACTTTCTAATCATGCCTTAATCTTTCTGGTGACCACTTCTTATCCTGGAGCTATCTAGGGGATCCCAGCCACTGTCCTCTCATTAGCATATAAAAGGTACTCTGAAGATTCCAAGGACATTAGGAACTATATGCCAGGAAATATGGATAAAGTCCCAGTGTATATTTTAGGGTCTTACCCCTGTCAAGGCAAATCACTTGACAGGGTTTCCTGTTGTTTGCATTTGATAATTTGACTTATTTGGAGTGTGAGAATACAATTTTACTTTAAAATCCTTCCCTTCTATACTTTGTTAGGTTACTGATGCATCACATCAGAGACTGCTTACCAGAGCTAAAAACAAGAATAAATGTTCTCGCTGCTCAGTATCAGTCACTTCTGAATAGCTACGGTGAACCTGTGGATGATAAAAGTGCTACTCTACTGCAGCTTATTACCAAATTTGCCACAGAATACTGTAACACTATTGAAGGAACTGCAAAATATATTGAAACTTCAGAGCTGTAAGTAAGAAATTTTTATATAGATTCAGGTACCTGGATTTCTAGGTCACTTTATCTTCATGAAAGTGACTTTAACTGAGATTGTGGTTTTTTATCTATGTAACAGGAAATAATTTTGTAAAAGTTAATAGATTATATCTAATGTATGTGTAAAAATGCTTTATAAATGATGTAAAAGCACAGTAAAAGTTTCAGATATTTTTAACAATATTTTAATTAATAAGCATTTAAAAATATTTTTTAATTAAAAATTTTAAAAATTTCTTTCTTCAATACATACAGTATTATTGTTCATGAAAAATTAGAAAATTCAGATAAGAAAAAAAAATTTATAAAACCCTAAATCACCTTTAATTTCACCAACCAAATATAATTCTGGTCAAGTATGGCACTGATCTAGACATTTTTTTGTTTATAAAACACATAGATGCCGGCATCACTCAACGTCATTTGTTTGTTTGTTTTAAATTGCCAAAAAGTGAATGAACTTGCTAAAAAGAGACAGAGAGAGAGGTAGAAAGCACCCTCCAATGAGGCATGGTCACGCCACAATTCTTTCTCTATTTCGCCATTCTGTCAGGATTTGGGGCATGCACATACACATGCCTGGCATGTTTTTCAACCCACTGGGACCAGGATTCAAACTGGAGTCAGTCATGTGGGATCCAGCCCCCTTAACCAGTAGGCTATGGGGCCAGCTCACACAGCTTCAGAAATGGGATGCTATACATGGTATTTTTAACTCATTCTTTATATTAACATGTCACAAACAGTTTTCTAAGAATAATATACATTACATTATCAGTCTGAAGATATGCATGCTATTTTACTTTCTAGATACATCCTCATTTGTTGAACCAGTCCCCTACTATTGGATAGTTTGTTTTCATTTATATGCAGATATAAACCATGTTGTGATGGACTACCTTGCACCTATCTTTGGAGCATGTATCCAATAACTGAGGATAAATTCCTGGGAGAGTTACTAGATTATAAGGTATAATGTCATAAAGGTCTTTCATTACATATTGCATACTATTAGCATACTGTGTAATTTTACTACTTACAGTATGTAAGAATGTCCATTTCTATATATCCTCATTTAAGAAAATAAAACTATTTTGAAATAATTTAGACTCACAGGAAGATGCAAAGGAATGTACAGGGAGGTTCTTGCACACTTCACTACCACTCCCAGTGTTGGCATGATGTCTTGGAGAACTGTAGTGCAACAAACAAAAGAAGAAAATAGACATTGAAACAATCCAATGAGTACATTCAGATCTCATCAATTACTCATGCACTTGTGTTTGCATGTGTAGTTCTATGTACCTTTGTGTGATCTAGATAGTCTTTCATGTGAGTTCCCTAAAGCAATAGCATATTTAACAAACTAATTACTGATGGTTATTATATGTATGGCCTATTAAGGTAAATAAAGATTACTACAGTAGGAAATTAAATAGTTTAGTGGTTAAGATAGTGGGTCCAGTCAAGGTAATAGAAGCTTCATCAGGTGGTCAAAATATAATTATTTTTTATTTAAATACTTCTATTATTTAAGTATAATACATATTCAGAAAAGTATGTACAACATATATAACAGTTTTATAAAAAATCAGTTACTGTTACATACTCAAACTTCCAGGGCACTGAAGGAGGGACCATTTATATTTCTTCTAGGTGTTAGAAGAGCTCCATAGTTAAGAAGATATTTGAATTAAGGTCTGAATAGCTAGGGAACGCAGTAAAGAGAGGGCTTTCTATGTTTTAGGAACAGCACAGAACAGTACAAGGTGTACTTGGAGAATAGCATGTATTGCGACAGGACTTAATGGGATAGGGCAGGAAGGGTATATCTAGGAACTAGATCACAGAAAGTCTTGAATATCTGCTCAGAATTTGGAGAACTTCATACTGTAGAAAATAAAACATTTTTGGTCATATAAGAAACTTATTTTAGGAGGATAATTCTTGTCTTCCTGGAAAATTAATTGGAGAAGGAAAAGGGTTGGGGGCAGAGAGACTAATTACATACTCGTTAAGTACAAGATTCAGTGGCATTACAGTCATGTGTCACGTAAAGATGGAGAAGTGTTCTAAGAAATGTGTCGTTCAGTAATTTCACCTTTTTATGAAAAACATAAGAGTGTAGTTAAAACAACACACTAGGCTATGCGGTGTAACTTACTGCTCTGAGGCTACAAACCTGTACAGTATGTTCCTGTACTGAAGACGATAGGGAACTATAACACACAAGTAAACGTGTGTATGTAAACATAGAAAGGACAAAGTAAAAATATGGTATAAAAGATAAAAAATTGGCCTTACTGTGGGGTCACAGGCAATAGGGCACTGCTGCAAGAGCTGGGGCCATGTAGCAGACTCGGGTTCAGATTTTGGACTAACCAGAACAGTCCAGGTGTAGAAGTGTGTGTCCATCATCCTAGCTAACTAGAGGGCTGGGGCAGAGGATCACAATGGCAAGACCCTTTCAATAGCAGATGTAACATCACTTGCTAGCCCCTCACCCCTGATCTCCTCTTGTATGTCTCATCAAAAAAGTAAATAAAATAAAATAAAAATAGTACATCTGTAAAGACACTTATCAAGAGCTTGCAGGATGAATGAGTTGCTCTGAGTGCACCAGTGAGTGATGGTGAGTGAATGTGAAGGCCTAGATGACTGATTACTGATAACTATATAAACACCTAGGCTACACTAAATTTATAAAAACATTTTTCTTCATTAACAATCTTATTGTAACTTTTACCTTATAAACTTAAAAAGATTTTTTAAACTTTTGCCTCTTTTGTCATAAATTAGCTGATAACATATTATATAGCTAAACCAAAATATTTTTCTTTTGCCTTTCTTTAAATTTATTTTATAAGCGAGAGAGATAAAGCAACCTAACGGGGTTCTGATGCCATGTTCCACTCCCAGCTCTCAGCCAGCCCTGTGTACTCAGGGAGTCTTCAGACTTGAAACTGGAACTTTCCCATGTGGGATCGCCTCTCAGTGTCATGTTATACTTTGTGCCACAGTGTGATCCCTATTTTTTTCCTTTATATCCTTATTCCTCTCTTTCTTTTTAAACTATTTTGTTAAAAACTAAGACACAAATAGAGACGTTAGCCTAGGTGTACAAAGGGACAGGATTAGCAGTTTTACCATCTTCATCTCCATATGATATCCTACTTGGAAGACCAAGATGAACAAAACAACAGAGATTAAATCAAGCAAAAGAGAAAATGATACAATCGAGAGACTTGGTAAATACGAGATGTATGAGGCTCCTGCTAGCATGCTGTTTTATAGTAAATTTAAGGAGGTGCATACGCTAAAATAATGATAAAATATGTAGGCTAGTAAATATATAACCCAGTAACATAGTCATTTATTATCGAGTACATATATGTACTATATATAGTCATATTGCTGTACTTTTATATGACTGGCAGTGCAGTGGGTATTTCTGCATCAGGATCACCACAAATACATGAGTAATGAGTAGAAAATGCATTGTAATGTGACATTAAGATAGCTGCGTCTCAGGGCCAGAAGGTGGCAGTGTGCTTTTAGGTGCAGGATTACCACATGGCTCACCATGGTTCGAGTCCTGGGCCTGATGACTTGAAAATCCCACCAGGCATATGTACATGTTTGCCCAGATCTTGAGAGAATGGAGAAGGGACTGTGGCATGGCCATCCCCCGATGGGTGATTTCTCACTTTCCCTGTCTCAGCATGTGTATGTGCCCTATGACAAAAACCTTTATTTTCAAGAATTTTTTGTTTATTATCATTATTTTAAAATTTGCTTTAGGGCATGCATGCTCACCAGAGAAACAGGGGAAGAAGGAAAGTGAGAAAGCAAACCACCAGGTCTGGGACCTGAACCATGGTCAGCCATGTTGGAGTCCAGCGCCTTACCAACACACTCCCTGCTGGCCCTGACAAAACCGTAAAAAAAAAAAAAAAAAAAAAAAAGAAGATTATGTCTCTAGGTGGTAGGAATTTTTTAGAACCATTATAATCTTATGGGATCTCTGATATATGAGGTTCATTATTGATGGGAACATCATTATGGGAGTGTATGGCTATAATTATATTCATAAGACCATGCAGCCTTAACTAGTATCTACTTCCAAAGTCTTTTTATCACTTCAATACAAAGTCTGTACCTTTTACAATCAGCTATTCCTGTTAATATCTCCCTCAGAGTTCCTGGTAACCTCTACTTTGCTTACGGTGAATGAATATGCCTAGTCTAGACAATCATATGAATGGAATTATAAGATATTTGTCCTTTTTTACTTGGCTTCAGTTAACATAATGTTAGACTAGCACCTTTTGCCTGAACTGCCATTTAAAAAGAATTGAATGGTGGTAGTAAAAATTAAGAAGGGATGATTATATTATAATAAAGGTTATTTGTAGAATTCAACTGGATTTGAATAAAAAAAGATAATACCAGGGTTTCTAGTCATGAAACAAGATAGAAAACATAATGTGCTCATCAGTACTGATCAGGAAATTTTATTTGTTCAGGAGTAGGCAGCTGGTATCCCACCAGTTAAGAATAATTTTCATATTGTAATTACTGTAAAATTTTTTCATGAGAGAAAGTGCATGTGTGTGAGGGAAAGGGAAAGCAATATTTCTGACAGGTTCTTGCTATGCTGCAATCCTCCTGCCACAGCCTCCTGGTTAGCTAGGACCACAAGAGTACCCACTGCACTCTGGCCTATATGAGCTAGAAGCTGAGCCCGGCCTGCTGAGCTGCCTCAGCCATCACAGTGGTGCCTTCTCTTGTGCTACTATAGCTGGGCCTGTAGACATTTTTTAATGTAAAGATGAAAAAAAACATTCTAAGAATGTTGTGACATGTGAAACTGTACAAAATTCAGATTTTAGTGTGTGTAAGTTTTCCTGCAACATGGGCCTGTGCTCATTCGTTTACTTACTACTTAGGTCTGCATTCGTGCTTAATGGCAGAGCTGAGTGGCTGGAGCAGGGACTGTGTGGCTTGAAAAGCCTTAAATATTTACTGCTACTTGGCTCTTCACAGAAATGGTTCGCCAGGCTAGCCTCTACTCTAAGTTGTGAATCAGCAAAAGTAAATAAGGCACTGTTTCCTGTCTCTAAGGAGTTCATAGTTCATTTGAAGCAACTAGGGCAGAGAAAGATGTTTAGCAGTTTTTTACTAACTGATGTTTTATGTCAGAACAATGGGCCTGTAAGAGGTTTAGGTTATTATATGCACCAGTGTATATATACCTTTCATGCAATGACTCCTTTTACCATTAAAAATAGAGAAACGGGCTTATAATGACTCCAAGTTGAGAACACAGGGAAATATAAGAGAACTCAATGCAGTTGTTTATCTGAAGCTTTCTCAGAAAATGAGATGAACTTGAAGCTTATAGAAAAATTTCTAACTCATAGCTTCTTTCTCTTTTAGTAATGCTAGAAACCATATACTTCATTGCCTTTCAGATGCGGTGGTGCTAGAATTTGTTATATTTTCCATGAGACTTTTGGGAGAACCTTAGAATCTGTTGACCCACTGGGTGGCCTTAATACTATTGATATTTTGACTGCCATTAGAAATGCTACTGTGAGTATGCTTAATTTTTAAATTTTTAAAAAAGCCAAAGCTTTATTTTTTACACATATATATATATGTATATATATATATACATTTGTTAATTATACTTTGCTGCTTTGCTTTCATACGTGAAATTAAGCACTTTTCATGAAATTCCAAAAATATATTTATTTTTGGTCAGAACTAAATTACATGTAGCTATAATAAAAGTGCTAAGTTTTGTTTTTTCAGGGTCCTCGTCCTGCTTTATTTGTGCCTGAGGTCTCATTTGAGTTACTGGTCAAGCGGCAAATCAAGCGTCTAGAAGAGCCCAGCCTCCGCTGTGTGGAACTCGTACATGAGGAGATGCAGAGGATCATTCAGCACTGCAGCAATTACAGCACACAGGTGACTGGGTGGCGGGACAGGCATCGGATGAACAGTGAAGGACTTGAGGCAGTGGTTTCATGGGGTGAAGGATTCCCTTAAATATAAGGTGGGCTGAAAGTTAAAATCCGTAGTTATCTCACCTAAAGGTAATATGAAATACTATTCTTTTTTATTCTTGATAGAGCTCGTTCACATGGGTGAGAAAGAAAGAGAGAGAGAGAGAGAGAGAGAGAGAGAGAAGCACCCTCCACAGCGTTTGGTCACACCATGATCAACTTCCTCCTGTCCTCCAGCCCATTGACTTCTGGTGTTTACACATGTGCCTGGAGTGTTTCATGCCGGGGACTCAAACTGTGTTTGCCATGTAGAACCTGGCTTCTTTTGAGCAAAAATTGACTCTTACATTTTTCTTTTTTCCATCATATACAGGAATTGTTACGGTTTCCTAAACTTCACGATGCCATAGTTGAAGTAGTGACTTGTCTTCTTCGTAAAAGGCTGCCTGTTACAAACGAAATGGTGAGCTCTGCCACAGTCATGGTAATCACTATGAGAAAAAGTTGAACTTTTCAGTTGGCTGGTGTTTAGATAGCATTATGCTTACTTTTGAGTTTAGGCATGTTTCCCAGTGTGCTAGAGGAGAACTAAGTGGGTGTCAGTCTTACTTCAAAGAAAAACTTTCAATAATTCTGGTATAAAGCACATTTTTCTTTATATTTTAATTATTGTTAGCTGCACTGTTAGCCTGTAGCCATAGGCTTTATGAGGACGGAGCTGTTATTGAGGGTTGTGAATAGCTTTGCTCTATTATACAGTACCACTGACCTTAATGGAAATTTAGTTCTGTCTTCGGCTTCTGGACACTGAGCCTTTATAGCAAGCTCTTTTTACTATGAAGTACATCATGATGATTTGGTTTCTTGTAGTTTGCTTGTTTGATGACCTAATATAGTTGGCCTTCTGTATCCATGGTTCCATATCTGTGGATGCAAGAAAGATAAGATAAAAAAAATGTCGTTGCTGTTTTTTGTCATTATTGTTTAGACAACAGTAGTACAAAATACAGTGTTTGCATAGCACCTACATTGTATTGGGCATTATTTAAAGCATATGTGTAGGTTTTATGCAAACTATGCCCTTTTATGTACGGGGTTTGCACACCTATGAATGTTGACATCTGTGGTGAGGGGTGATCCTGAAACTAATCCCCTGTGTATACTGAGGGATGACTATATTATAATGTCTTAGTGACTTGCTGCTATTTTGTGGGTTGCTGCTATCCACAAAAGTTAAAATGCTGAACTTCTCAGAAATATGGGATAAACATTTGACATTGCCCTTATGCCTCTAATTGTTGGCTGGGTTTTTTGTTTCCTTTCTGGTCACTGAAAGTGCACTTGGGTCCTTGGCTCAGATGGTGAGCAAGAGTGGAGGTTTACTAAGAGTACAAAACCATCCCTGGAAATATAGAGTGTAAGTGCTGTGCTTGGTTGTCTCCTTAGCAAGGATAACCCTCAGCTTCAAATATCTAAGATCAAATTAAGCCTGATCTGACGTTACCCACTGATATCACAAAATCATTGGAACTTCATTGAATAGATCCTTTTCACCTAGTTCTAAAACTGTAAGTGCTGTTGTGTGACACCTGAATTTTATCAAGACAGTGTGGAAGATATAATAAGGGATTTATTTTTCTCTGTAAGGCTTAGAAATTCTGTAAAGGGCTAGAGAAATTAATTTTAACATTTCTTTTTGATTATTATCCCATCAGGTATTGAATAACATAATTTAAATAAGTGCTTTGTAATTAAGGCTAATCAATCACCACCTCAGTTCTTTAAATGTATCATTACCCAATTAAAGTTAGTGTCTTTAACTTATGTTTGTTTATAAACTTATTGTTGAAACTGAACTAAAACTTTGACATGCAATAGTAGATGATCTGAAGTTTATTAAGCAGAGTTGACTTGGAACTTAGATTTGTATTAGGTAGACAACTTTTTTCCCCCAACAGTAAAATACTTTTAGCCACCTAAATGTCATTTCTGCTCCCCCTCCCCCTTAGAAATGCAATTTTAGATGCTGAATATAATAATTTAAAAGCTGGAACAATGTTTGGCATAAAATTTCATCAACTGGAGTATGACTGTATAATTATCAAGTCTTTATCTAAGCTTGAGTTTCCTGTACTTTTTCAGTATTGTCTGTTGAATATGTTTTAGACATAAATTTCTCAGAGTAAAATTAGGTTGATGTTACCTTTGTATATAGCCTAATTTTATTTTTTTCTAGGTCCATAACTTAGTGGCAATTGAACTAGCTTATATCAACACAAAACATCCAGACTTTGCTGATGCGTCTGGGTTAATGAACAATAATATAGAGGTAAATACAATTCAAGTTGTCTTTTTTCTGAGATAGAAAAACTGTTATAACTCAGTTATATGGAACTTACATAGCATGGGATAACTACAGAACAAACGTCACCATTAATGCCTATTTTATGCAAAGAAATATACAGAGGTCGTTACATTATGTCCCTAAATTCAATTATCAAAACCACCTGGAGGCATTATTCTTACTTTTTGTTTATGAAACCGAAACGCAGAGAGAATCAAGGAATTCACTAATAGTTTGTGCTCACTGGAAAGACAGAGAGAAATCACCCCCCAGGGGAGCCGGCCACAACGCAGTCCCTTCTCCAGTCTCCTCTCAGGATCTTGGGCATGCAGGCTCCCAGTGAGAGTTTACGTTGCTGGATCTGGGACTTGAACTGCGGTTGACTGGACTCAGTGATGTAACCATTACACAATCTGCTGGCCCCCAAATTCAGCTCTTTGATTAAAACAGATAAAGAAAGAGCCCAAGGCCTATAAATTGTAACAGCTGTTCCTTTAGTGCTTATTTTGTTGGGAACTGTTACAGGAAATAAGCCCATCTCTTTAATGGGTATAGGAAACTTAGCTACACAGCCCAGGTGGTTCCTATTATCAGAAAAATTTCCAGAATGCATACATGAATAAAGCACTTTAGACACAGAGTGGGGGGCCAGCAGGTGGCATGGTGGTTGAAGTGCTGGACTCCCACATGGCTAACTGTGGTTCAAGTCCCGGACCTGATGGCCTGCTTTTCCACTTTCTCTGTCTCTCTGTACCCTTCTCAGGTGAGCACACATGCCCTATAGCAAATTAAAAATAATAATAAATTTTTAAAAATTTAAATAAATAACCACTCAAAGTGGACTGGATAACAGTCATACTAATAAACATGTGTAGTGGCCAGCAGGTGGCATAGAGGTTAAGGCACTGGACTCCAAGATGGCCAATGGTGGTTCAAGTCCCAGACCTGGAAATCATGCTGGGCATGTGTGCATGTATGCCCAAAAGCCAAGGAAAAGGGATTATGGTGTGGCCATCTTCCCTTGGGGGATACGGGAGGGATTTCCCACTTTCCTCCCTGCCCCCCCATCTCTTTTCCATGAGCACATGTGCCCTTTGGCAAAATTTTAAAAAATATAATAATAAAAAAAAAAAAAACAGACTGTGCAGAGAATCCCTTAGTTTAATGATTTAGGTCTTATAATAACCAACCATCTTCATGGAAAATCTGTGTCCAGAGCATTTGTCATACTGATAAGGTCCTATGTGATACGGTTTCAGATTAGTGGTTTTTTTTGTTGTTTTCTTTCTTCTTCTTCTTCTTCTTCTTCTTCTTCTTCTTCTTCTTCTTCTTCTTCTTCTTCTTCTTCTTCTTCTTCGTCTTTTTTAATGTTAGAGAACATATTTTATGAAACAGAGATGAAAGAGGAGGAAAAGAAGAAGAGAATGAGACAGAAAGAACTCCACTATGGGCCTTGGTCATGCCATAATCCTTTTTCATCCACTTACACATCAAGATCTTAAGTACACTATGTGCACACTCCTGGGAATTTTTTTTTTTTTTTTTTTTTTTTTTTTTTTTGTAAGTTTTTTGGCATAGGGTACATGCACTGGCTGGAGAGAGAGATACAGTGAGGGGGAAGGTGAGAAATCAACCCCCAGGGGTGACAGCCATGCTGCAGTCCATTCTCCTCTTGGGATTTTGGGTACACACACACACACACATATATATGCTAGGTGAGATTTTTAAAGCACCAGGTCCTGGAGTCGGACCGTAGCTGGTCATGTAGGAGCCCAGTGCTTCAACTACCACATCACCTGCTGACCCACCTGGCATATTTTTCAAACTGTAGTTGGCCATGTGCAATGGGGCTCCTTTTGCGGAGCACTTAACCTCTGCACTGTGCAGCTGGGCTAAGATCGGGTATTTTTCTATGAATGAATATGCCTCTTTTTTTTTGAGGTTTTCGCTATAGGGTGTGTGCGCTTGCCAGACAGACAGAGACATAGAGACAGAAAGCGAGAAATCACCCTCCAGAGGGGATGGTCACACCACAATCCCTTCTCCTCCATTCTCCTCTCAGGATCTTGGGCACGCACGCACACGCACCTGGTGTGAGTTTTAAACCACCAGGTCCGGGACGCGAACCGTGGTCGACTACGTGGGAGTCCAGCAACATAGCCATTATGCTAACTGCTGGTCCCAATGTGCCTGGTTTTTAAAAAATTTTCCAGAGGGCACATTTGCTTGCCGAGAGAGAGAGAGAGAGAAAGTATCTCCTGTGGGGGGAAAGTCATGCCACATTCCTTGTTCATTTCTCCCTCCTTTCAGGACCCTGGGCATGCAGGCACACGCACATACCTGACACTTAAGCCACCAGGTCCAAGTCTCAAACTGCACAGTTGAGTATGTGGGATCCAGCCACCTCAACCACCATGCCACTGCCTGGCCCATGCCTGTTGTTTTAATGACTGCAAAAGAACTCATGTTGGTATTCCTGTTGAATCTTCACAATAACCCTATGTGTGGTAAATAATATCAACAAATTAGGAAACCAAGGCTTAGATACTTTTTCAGGTTACAGTTTTGTGGGGCTATTACCTGAATTTAACACAAAAATATGACGGTTAGAATGACATTTTTATTTTATTTTTAATTTGTTTATTCAGAGAAATTTTTGCTACAGGACACATCTGCTCACCAGAGAGACAGAGACAGAAAACACGAAATCACCTCTGATGGATGATGGCCATGCTACAGTCCCTTCTCCATTCTCCTCTTGGGATTTTGGGCACGCACTCACACATGCCTAGCATGTTTCAAACCTTTGGGTCTGGGACTTAAACCACAATTGGACAAATGGGAGTCTAGTAATGTAACCATTATGCCATCTGCTAGTTTCTTCTAGAATGACTTTTAAAGGCTTTGTTTTCTATGATCTGTGCATTTCAAATGTGATGTGATTTAAGTGCGGAAGGCTTTTGTTACACATCTACACAGAGACAGTTTAAATTCTTTTTCTTTTAAAGTGAATTTTCCATCTGACTTTATTTCCAAATACACTTTCTTTTTTGAAAAACCAATACACTTTCTTTAGGGATAACAAATATCAATATTAGGAAATCAACTATACAAAAAATACTACATCTAAGAGACCAGCAGTTAGTGTAATGGCTATGTCACTGGACTCCCATGTAGTCAACCGCAGTTAGTGTCCTGGACCCAGTGGCTTAAAACTCATGCCGGGCGTGTGTGCGTGCGTGCCCAAGATCCCGAGAGGAGAATGGAGGAGAAGGGATTGTGGCATGGCCATCCCCCCTGGGGGGTGATTTCTCGCTTTCTGTTTCTCTGTCTGTCTGGCGAGTGCACGCGCCCTATAGAAAAAACCTCTCCAAAACAAAACAAAAAATACAAAAACAAAAAAAATACTATATCTAAGTCCTGGGGTAGATATATTTATTTTTGGTAACATACATAAGTGGCACTAATTACACAGTAACTAGAAGTTAACTAACATGAAACCACAAGAACTGTAACTGCCACAGCTGTGGCTCAGCCTTTCCAGCTGAACTGGTGGGCCGAACCCTAAGACATGCAGCCCACCACAGAGTGATGCCTCTGAGCATTTCGACCAGTAGAGCTCTGGACAAAGCTCTGAAGTGGAGTAAATCAGTATTTCTTAGTGGGAGAGGAACAAATACCAGTTTGCTACCCCTTATTAGAAAAACCGTGGTATATGCAGCTATTGTTACTGAAATTGTATCGTATCTCTCAGGTATGTTGGGGCAGAAAAAAAGATTGAAGCATTGGGTTATGTAATTTCTTATTTACTGAAAAATATGATAGTTATGGCATGAGTCCCAACAGTGAGAAAATAAATCTGTAAGTTATTCCACACTTTTCAATGAAGGTGAACATTTTTTATTAGGCATGTATCTCAGTACTTACTTGATCATCACTTTTTACTTGGCTTTTATAGGAACAAAGAAGAAACAGACTAGCAAGAGAATTACCTTCAGCTGTATCACGAGACAAGGTAAAAAATACTAATAAATAACACTTTTTAAAGGATATTCCTAACACCCAAAGATGGATTGGTAAGCCTCAGAATATTATTCAGTTTTAGGAGTAATTTTTAAATTATTTCTTTAATACTCCATTGGAACTATTTTATTATTTGAGTAAAGGCATACAAGTTTAAAAAAGGTTTTGATTAACTTAAAGATATTATAGTATTTCAAGTAAAACTGGAGTAAATGCTAAAAAGTAGCTTTTAAGCAAGTGTCAAGGCTTTTAATTTTTTAATTCATTGTCTTTGCCAACATTGTAAATTCAGTTGACATGACTAGTGACTTTATTATAAGAGGAATTTTTTTTTGAAGGAAAGACAACAGTGTGCATATAGCAGAGATTTTAGTTACTAGTGAAACTATAGTAATTACATATATTAAAATGTGTGTATAAAAATTGGTACCTTAAATTATTTGCCAGAAAAAAATCTTATCAACTACCAAAAATAAAAATGCAGCTTTTAGATTTGGATTTTTCTTAGATATTCATCTGAGGAAAACTTTTAAATAAGTGACAGTGGTACAGGAAATAAAGCAGAATAAACAAACTTAACTCCCATGATTACTTTTGTTTTTCATGTTATTTTACTATTTTGTTACCGAGGGGAAAAAAAAATTCAATTTATAGAATGTTTCTGAATGCAGTTTTGGCATCCTTGAATTTTTCCCTGCATTTTTGCCTTTAGTCCTCTAAAGTTCCAAGTGCTTTGGCACCTGCCTCCCAGGAGCCCTCCCCTGCTGCTTCTGCTGAGGCTGATGGCAAGGTCTGTTCTGATTCTTTCATCTAAGCCTGCATGCCTGGTTGTTTGGTGCAACACATTCTTGTGGAAATGATGTGCTGAACAGGAGAATATTAGTATGGGATACTGTGCTAAGGTCAGGTCACTTTAGTCTAACAGAAAATTTTAAATGATCTAACAACGTGCCCCAGCTGTGGTGGTGCATGCCAGTAGACACTGCTATTCCAGAGGCTGAGGTCACACGGGAGGCCCAGGTTCCATATCCAGCCTGACTTTATGAAAGACTTTATATAATCATAACTTATGAAATATGCTTGACAGGCTTTTGCTTACCACATAGAAGGTGCACCCAGAAAAAGAAGTAATCTGAAGAGGAAATTATGCTGCATTTTTTTATTATCATGCCACTGGTATTTAAATTTTGCTTGTTAAATTGCATGTTTTAACATATCTTTTAACAGTTAATTCAGGACAACAGAAGAGAAACTAAAAATGTGAGTCTCTTGCTTCAGAATGAAAACGTCGGTACTTTTGGTTCTTACTGAAATACTATCTTCAGAACCACTAAAGAACCTGTTTGTACAGTGGCATCTACCTCTTGTCGTCTGTGTTATGTTCTTAACGTTCCTTTTACCTAACCCATGTAAGATGGCTCTGTAGTTTAACATCGTTTTAATGAACAGTAACAGGCTTTCCCACTGTTTTCTGTTATCTTTAAGAAGTTTTGTACTACTTTTTTTTTTTTTTTTTTTTTTTTTGGCTAAAGGGTGTAGACAGAGAGGAGAAGAGAGAGCACCCCCATGGGGAGTGGTTAGGTTGCAATCCTGTCTCCTCCATTTTTAATCTCCTTTTAGGATTTTGGGCTCATATATACATATGCCTGGTGTGTTTCTCGAGCCACTGGGTCTAGGACTCAAACGAAATGGTCAGCCGTGTGAAATCCAGCTGCTGTAACCACAAGGCCATAGAGCCAGCCCAAGAATAGTTGTGAATTTATTATTTTGATAGGGAAGATTTCAGAGATGGAAATTGTACCTTTGAACACTTCCTCTTTGAAGGTTTTATAGTCTGTCCAGTATTAAGGGCTAATCCTCCAATGCTGCTTTCTTGTGCTTCCAGTGAGCCTGCACTTGTCACCCTAACATACAGCTTCACTGTGCTTCAGCAGCTTCAGCAAATTCAAATCGAACGGGGGACTGAGTGTTTTCTCCTAAATAGGGGAAATGAAATGTGTGAATTGTTCAGACCATTTATATTTCCAGTTTTTCTTCTATTTGGCCCCTTACTGTACAGATTTAAAATTCTGAACCTCAAATCCAATCTTGTAAATATCAGTGTTCTCTCAGCCCACTGTGCTCAGATACTAAGAACCATCTGAATCACTGCACAAGCGTCATTTCATTATGACATCACCCATAATGAGCTCAGTTCCCTTGAGATTTCATTTGATGTATCATTCATGTATAGTTAACAAGCATTTAAAATATTGGGTTGTCAGAAAAGTCATGTATTTTTAATGTTTTTCTATTCAAAAATGTGTCATGACTTTTCCAACAACCCAGTATAATGATTCATTTCTAAATGCTTAAGATAAATATACTGCTTATATTCAGCTATAGCTCACCTTAAATAACATACTAAAGACAGGTTATGGCCAGTGTTTCCATTCAACATGACACCCAAAACGGCCATAACACTCTCCTATTAAATGTATATAACCATTTTTAGATTATAAAATCTTTTTTATTAAAGAATTATTTTATTCAACTTTATTTTTATTCATTTGTTTATTTCAGTTTGACCAGAGAGGGAGAGGGAGGGAGGGCGGGGGGACTCACCCATGTGGGAATCCAGTGCCTCTAACCACCATGTCACCTGCCAGCCCCTAGATTATAAAATCTTAAAAACCATCTCTTAAATGTTGATGAACTCTCTGCTTTCCCCAGTATCATAAAGTTGATTTTTCCTTTTAGACTTTAGACTAACAAAAGTTGTAAAAACACCTGATTAATGGTAGTAGTAGATTTCTTTCAGTAGATCTTTCTCAGGTGTATAGACATTGAGGAAACTTTGGTTTATGTCACATTCCACATTTTTGGCAATTTAAAGTAAGTATCAGCCTAAGAATAAAGAATGTAGTCTTGTTATTTTTTGTTTTAGGTTTTTGCCATAGGATGTGAGCTCACCTAGGAGAGACAGAGACAGGGCAAGAAATCATGCCCCAGGGTGGTGGCAATGTTGCAGTCCCCTCTCCTCCATTTTCCTCTCAGGTTTTCGAGCACTCATGTACACAGGCCCAGTGTGGTTTTTCAAGTTGCTGGGTCTGGGACTTGAACCATGGTCAGCCACGTGGGAGTCTAGTGCCTTAACCACCACACCACCTGCTAGCCTCAGTATAGTCCTATTTTATTAAAGAGTTTCTACTTTTACCCTATGGTAATTTTCTTTACTAACATAGGAATACAAACTGACTTGAGAAATATATGAACTCTTTTAAGTTTGGAGACATGAGTTCATAGAACTTTCAGAGAGATCATAGTTCAACTAGTATTTAAGATTACTTTGAAAAAATTAAACTGCGTGGCTGTTGTTTTTCCTTATTTACTTAAAATTTACTACAGGGCGGGACCAGCAGTTTGTGTAATGGCTGTCGCTGGACTCCCACATAGTCAACCACGGTTCGAATCCCGGACCTGGTGGCTTAAACTCATGCCAGGCGCGTGTGTGTGCGTGCCCATGATCCCAAGAGGAGAATGGAGAAGGGATTGAGGTGTGGCCATCCCCCCTGGGAGGTGATTTCTCGCTTTCTATCTCTCTGTCTCTGTCTCTGGTGAGCGGACATGCCCTGTAGCAAAAACTTCTCAAAAAAAAAAAAAAAATTTACTACAGGGCACGTACACTTCCCAAAGAGAAAGTGAGAAAGTACCTTCTTTATTTTCCTGAAAAGATGTGGCGCGCATGTGTGCGCACGCGCACACACACACACGCTCCAAGCTGCAGGGTCCAGGACTTGAATCACAAAATTGGCCATGTGAGACCCAGCTATCTTAATCACCATACCAACTGTCTGGCCCACTTTTTTTCATTATGTGTGTTTGTAGCTTTGTTTTTAAGGGCAGTTTATACTTTCCTACCAACTAGTGTTTGAGGGTAGGGGAAGAGGAAATATTTTGATAAGTCAGCAAATGATGAATAAAAAGGAATTAAGTAGGACCCAATTGGCTGAAGCCTTGCAAACAATTTACAGCAGACCTACGTACTTAGACAGTTTCGGGTTCCACTTGTGCCTGGCACCCACCATCTCTTTCTGACCCCATTACCTGAACAGATTAAATCCAGACGGTATTGGTGTGTATTTTCACACTGTCAAAGACAGCAAGTTGCTTAGTCTATTTCAGGTATGTGGTTGGTATAGGATTTGGATTTTTTTTTTTCAGGTTGCATCTGGAGGTGGTGGGGTTGGAGATGGTGTTCAAGAACCAACAACAGGCAACTGGCGAGGAATGCTGAAAACTTCAAAAGCTGAAGAGTTATTGGCTGAAGAGAAATCAAAGCCAATCCCAATTATGCCAGCCAGTCCACAAAAAGGCCATGCTGTGAATCTGCTGGATGTGGTAATAAGCCATGAGAACTTGGTTTAGGTCTAATAAGATGATCAGATGAGTAGAGAAACACTTCCAAAAACACTCCTCAAAACCTTACTAACTTTTGAATGGTAAATGTAACGTTTCCCCCCCTTACCCCATTTAGCCGGTTCCTGTTGCACGAAAACTATCTGCCCGTGAACAGCGAGATTGTGAGGTTATCGAACGACTCATCAAGTCTTATTTTCTTATTGTCAGAAAGAATATTCAAGACAGGTTAGTACTACTTAATGCAAATCACACACTATAATACTGCTGGATTATTCCATGAATTGTTTTGCCTTTAAAAAATTTTTTTAAGCTAGTTTTTATTCTAAATGAAATAGATTCTCTGAGCCAAAGTGCTAACATAGAGTAACCAGGCCCCAGTATCAAGCAGAAAATTTACTAAGAGGCCCAGCTGTGGTGGCACAAGTAAGTGGGCTATGCAAGGGCTGAGGCTGTGTAGGAGGCCCTGGTTTGGTTCCCAGCCCAGCCTAAGTAGGCTTGGTGCAGACACCTGTGGTCCTACTTAACTGGGAGGTGGGGCAAGAGGAACAGGACATCGGTGAGACCTTGTCGGTGAGACCCTCTTGAAGGTCTTTCTCCACCCCTACCCACACATATGCGCCTTCCCTCTCTCCCTGCCTCCCTCTAGGTCTCATTAAAACAAAAAGCTACTAAGAAGTGAGAGATATCCTTTTGTTCTGACTGCCACATTTTTAAGTCATTTAACAGGATATTTTTTCTAGAATTCAATTTAGTTAGTTTTACTCATTATTTCAGCTACCTAACACTGACTTGCATTTTTAATTATTTGATCTGGTTCTCCAAGGTATCGAATACATGCTTTTCACTGGAAATATCTATTTTCTGTTCTAACTCAACGTTTTCTCATGTGTCCACTGTCTGATGTTTCCTTCTTCCATGTTGCCTGTGATGTGATTTCATGCAGTAACAGGGAGAATAAAAAATGAAATTGTGGGACTAGCAGGCGGTGTAGTGGTTAAGGTGCTGGATTCCCACATAGTTGACCTTTGTTCAAGTCCCAGGCCTGGAGGCAGAAATAATTCTTTGTGTTTTGCACTGTGATCTAAAGAACAGTAGGCCTTAGCTTTTGTTTTCATTCTATGAGATTTTTTTAAAGATGGAATTTATATACCATAAATTCCTAAAATAAAACCCTTTTAAAAAGTGTTTTAGGGGACCCGCAGTTAGCGTAATGGCTATGTCGCTGGACCCCCATGTAGTCGATCATGGTTCGCGTCCCGGACCCGGTGGCTTAAAACTCACGCCAGGCACGTGTGCGTGCCCAAGATCCCGAGAGGAGAATGGAGGAGGAGGGATTGCGGCGTGACCATCCCCCCTGGGGGGGTGATTTCTCGCTTTCTGTCTCTGTCTGGCGAGCGCACGCGCCCTATACGAAAAAACCTCTTTAAAAAAAAATTTTAAAAAAAAGTGTTTTAGAAGTTTTTAGTGGGACCAACAAATGGCATAATGGTTATGCTGCTGGACTCCCACATAGTTGACCATGGTTTGAGTCCTGGACCTGGCGGTTTAAACTTATGTTGGGCCCGTGTGCATGTGCGCCCACAATCCTGAGAGGAGAATGGAAAAGAAAAGATTGCAGCATGGCCATTCCCCCCCGTGGGGGTGATTTCTCACTTTCTGTCTGTCTCTAGCAAGCACATGTGCCTTATAGCAAACAAACTCTCTCAAAAACATTAGTATATTCATAAAACCACATACTTAACCACTGTCAAATTCTGTAACATTTCAACTACCCCATAGAGAAATCCTGTGCCCTATTAGCAGACTTCCTGTTTTGCTCTCCCTCCCATTCCTGGCAACCACTAACCTATCATCCCCATTGATGGGCCTCTTTGGGGTTTTTACATAAGTGGGATTGCACTAATATGTGGCCTTTTCTCTCTGCTCCTTTTACTTGCAATGTTTTAAAGGTTGATCCATATTGTAGCATGAATCAGTATTTTGTTCCTTTTTGTGGCAATATCATATGGTATAACATATTTTGTTTACCTGTTCTTTAGGTGACAGGCATTTGGGCTTTTCCCACTTTTTAGCTGTTATGAGTAATGTTCATTATAGAGCTTTGATAGATGAAACAAGGTAAAACATCAGGAATTGTGGCTTTTCTTTTTAAAGGTTTTGCCATAGGTTGTATGCACTTACCAGAGAATGGGAATGTGAGAAATCATCCCCCAGAGGGGCAATCCCTTCTCTTTCATTCTTTTCTCGGGATTTTGGGCACATATGCACATACATATCTGGCATGATTTTCAAGCTACCAGGTCCAGGACTCAAATCAGAGTTGGCCATGTGGGAGTTTAACACCTTCACCACCACCACCACCACCTCCTGGTCCCAAATCCTAATCTTCTCCCCCCCCCCTTTTTTTAAAGAGAGATTTTTGCTATAGGACGTGTGTGCTTGCCAGAGAGACAGAAAGCAAGAAATCACCCCTGGGGTGAATGGCCATGCTGCAACCCCTTCTTCTCCCAGGATTCTGGTCATGCATGAACATGTGCCTGGTGTGACTTTCAAACCACCAGGTCTGGGATTCAAACTGCAGCTGGCCATGTGGGAGTCCAGTGACATAATCATTATACCATCTGCTGGTTCCAGTTGTGACTTTCCTTGATGTTTGATTGCAATTAAGTAAAAACATGAAGGTTAATTATGGCATTAAGGAAAATAACTAAAGTAGTATTGTTATGTAACTGTGATCATCTGAGGTCAGATTCAAAGCCCAAATTTTAGAGGCAGAATTGTTGCCAAAATTTTCAATTTGGTTTTGTTTTGCAGTGTGCCAAAGGCAGTAATGCATTTTTTGGTTAATCATGTGAAAGATACTCTTCAGAGTGAGTTAGTAGGACAGCTATATAAATCATCTTTATTGGACGATCTTCTGACTGAATCTGAGGACATGGCACAGCGTAGGAAAGAAGCAGCTGATATGCTAAAGGTATTCTGACTTGTAAAATTTTTATCTTTGGGCTGTATATACAAACACACACACATAACAGTTTAAAATGTACTCTGGGCAGAGCCACAGTGATGTGTCCTGCTGAGATGCTGTGCTCTGCAGGTTGGGATGCTGAAGCCACATGGGAGGCCTGGGTTCGATTCTGGTCCAGCCTAGAGACAGGGTGCAGAAGTGTGCACTTGTCATCCTGGCAACTTGCGAGGGCTGAGGTGGGAGGATTATGAACTTGAAGCTGGCTGGGCAACGTGAGACCCTGCTTAAAAAAAACAAAAAAAAAAAACAAAAAAAACAAGAGCCAAGCATGGTGGTGCCAACCTGTGGTCCCAGAAGGGAAGGTGAGGCAGGAGGATTATGATAGTAAGACCCTGTGTATGTATATACCATACACATATGTATGGTATATACATCTCTCTCTTTATATATATAGAAGGCTGTCAGAAAAGTCATGACACATTTTTGCATAGAAACAGAATATGTCATGATTTTTCCCACAACTCAGTATATAGTCAAATTCCAAAGATACTGGTTAAAGTCTACCACATATAAATTGGAGAAATTGCCATACATAACTTCATGTCTTAACTTTGTAAGAATTTAAAGTTGTTGTTTCCTTTAATACAGGCATTACAAGGAGCCAGTCAAATTATTGCTGAAATCCGAGAGACTCATCTTTGGTGAAGAGAACTATATAATACTGAGACTTTGTTGACTCAAAACTTGCTAGTTACTGCCTACCTGAGTAGAATTTTATTTATGAACTCCTGTGTATTGCAACGGTATGGATCTGCTCATGTGCAGACTGGCTATAAACTGAAAAGTGTACTCTGTATTACAGAACAAATCACACATTTAATCCAAATAATAAATGGCTGTTTCTAAAGATTTCCAGTATATATAAAATATATTGAGTCTGTCTTGTGACAGTTTCATTTGAACTTAAAAAAGAATTGTTAATGTTCCAGTTGTACAAAGCAGTTTGCCTGTGGATAAGATGACCTGTGTAATCTGTTAGTAGTCTTACAGCTGCTGCCATAGTCCTTCCAGAAGAAAGCACCAAGACGATATTTCATATGACTAATGCATGCACTGTATAAACTGATCTGGCTTTAAAAGATGTGGGTTGGCAAGTTCCTCATGTAGAATCACTGTATTCCACCTGTCCTTCGATTTACAGTTTGAGCTTCTCTGCAGCCTTTGATGTGTTAGTAAGAAAGCTGAATGCACAAGAGGATCTGTGACGTTGACCAAGATGTGGTGTGCATCACTGTGTAGTGACATGGCCCCTCCAAGTACAAGTCCACATTGCCCTAGCGCGCTGAAAGTGAAAATACTTTGATTCTTACCCAAAAAGCATGAATTCCAGCTTCCTGCATTAAAAATCATCATCTAGACTTGATTATAGTAAGACCTGGTAATGATGGCCAGTTCCTTTTAGTTTTACAGGACCCAGTGATGACCTAAAACTCTCCTCAGTTTGCAGACATAGCAGTGGTCCTTAAGGTACAGCTCTAAAATGGGACACTTACACCAGGCTCTAAAGATTCACTTTGAGGTAGGGCTTAAACCATCTTACCCTCTGTGTAAGTATTCATTGCTAACAGCTACTTTACTTCATATCAACAAAATACATTAGGATAGTGGTATGGAAATGTGGGTGGAGCTTTGTTATTTAAAGAGAAACGTCTGGACACACACTCCTTAAGTCTTACTGACTATGAAATAGCAGTGGGGGTGGGAGGAGAGGCTTAGGACATACACATTTTTAAATTCAAATTCCCCAGGTGATTCCTATTATGAACTACTACTATATTACAAATTTCAAGTTATGGGTAGAAATCTTTAATACATCTAGCTTCATCTCTAACATCTAACAAGTTATATACTGCAGACATTAACATTTTTTGCCAAGTGACGCTGAATATTCATGAAGGGCTACTGGCAGGAAAATACATGTAAGTTAACTTTACCTCTGTTACCCATTTACTAAAAATGAGCAGGCTCAGCAACTTATCTCAAACAATCAGGTAAGATATGGTACTGCTCTGACTCTTCAACGGTACCATCTTGACAGAATACAGAGTACCAAAATGTTTCTTAGCACACTTAAAACTTACTCTGCCATTATTAAAGATCAGTTTTGAAATTATAGCCATCCATGTTTTATTTTTTTCAGGTAGATCAGTTGACTACCATTCTGGCCTTCTGAATTTATAAGAAAAAAAGGGAAGGAAAACTTACTTTTCTCCAGCATATCAAACAGATTTCAAACTGAGCATGCTGGCTTTAAAGACGCTATGGTGATGCACTTGCTAGTACTACACACTCTGTACAATGAAATATAATGAAAAAGAGGCAAGAAACTTATGGAAAGAGAAAACCTTTCTGTGCTGGCCCTTAAACTGAGTGAAGTTCTGAAATGTAGAGATGACATTTATAATAGATACCTGTATGTTTTGCTGTGTAAATAAAATTGCTGGTATGAAATGATACTCAAATTTGTCAATAAATGAATTCTTCCTAGCCTCCCAAAGAAAGGTTTAGATAAACTAGCTTTTAAACACCTAAATCTACTTTGGGACATGACAGTACAGCTTACCAGGAGTTTTATGACTCTCTTCCTAACGAGTCTCATAGTTCACCAAGGTCTTATCTCTCCATGTTGTATGTGAAGACTGACTGCTTGCTTCTGAGTGAGCCAGGTAGTAAATGGCTAGGATTTGAACACTAAAAGCCATACTTTGCTGCCTATAAGGTTTTCAGAGGAAGTATGATTAACCATTTCATGCGGGTGTCACCTGATCCTTAGGGGAATGAGGGTGCTATTTATTTTTCCGATGTGGAAACAGTTTTGGAGAAATTGTTTAATGTATGGAAAGCTGACCTCTTTTTTTTTTAAAGAAGTGATTAAAAAAATTGTTAGTCATGTACATTTGCTGGAGACAGGGAGAAACAGAAGGACAGTAAGAAAGCACCCTCCCATGAGGGATGGTCACACTGTGGCCCCTGCTCCATTTTTCCCTCCTTTTGGGATTTTGGGCACACATTCCCGGTGTTTTGTTTTTCCAAGCTGCTGTGACAGGAACTGGAACTGCTTAATCGGCCATGTGAAATCCAGCCAACTTAACCACCATGCCACACACTGGCCCATTTTTGCAATTTAAGTCAAATGGTCTCATCTAACTCCTCTCCCTCTTTTCTCCTCTTTAGAACTAGATGTGCTTGCTAAACAACCAAAAAATTAGAATTTTGGGCTAGCAGGTAGCATAGTGGTTAAGGCATTAGGCTCAGATTCCTACATGGTCAAGTACAGTTCAAGTCCTAGAACTAGTGGCTTGCTTACTTCCTCTCTCTCTCTTTCTCTCTTTTTCTCTCTGGTGTGCACATGTGCCCTATAGCAAATTTTAAAAATAATAATAAATATAATCAAACAATTCTTCAAAAAATTTAGAAATTTATAAATTTCTAGTAACATTTCCCATCTCTTTTTTGTTCCCCCAAGTCAGATGGGTACTGTTACATTACAAGGTTTGAGGTAAGTACAGCTCACACACTAGTGTGAAAACACAATCTTCTCTATGGTCTGGTAGTTAAGATGGCTAGATCCCACATGGCTGACAGTTTAAGTCCCAACCTGGTAGCTGGAGAAATACAACAGAAACACACGTGCATGCTCAAAATCCCAAAAGGATAGGGACAAGCAATTGTGGCATGACCATTCCTAATGATGGGGTGTCTTCTCTTGCCCTCTGCAAACACATGATAAAGCTTATGAACCACAGAAAGATCTAGCTGTGAACATTGGAGGAACTGCTGGCGTGTAACAAGTATGCCGAATGTATGTGTGACTGCTGAGATCAATGCTCCATAGCTGATATAACCAAATCCACGGTTACTTACACCTCCTTGCTGCTCCCCTCCTCAGTCCAAAAAGTGCAAAACAGAAAAGAGCAATTCTTTCATGAATTATCTTTTTTTTTAAGAGACTAACACTAGACATTATGGTTTTCGATGGCAGTCCTTAATGTTTGTGGATCAGAAAATAAAATATCCCATCATTAAACAAACACCTTATTTATTAACCAACTCATAAAAATAAAATTACTCACACTGTAAGGCCTAGTCCATTCTGTTTTTCTGATCTGTGTAAATGAGGGTCTAAGTTCAGGAGCCAACACTTTATGTGTCTTCAGAATGAATGATGTACAAGCCTGTTAGAGCCACAAGGATTTTTCATTATAACTGAAGCCATTTTATAATGTAGAAATTCCTTTTTCCTATTTTAAGTAAAGAAAGTCCATTCTTGAGAATATGTTGTCCAACAACTAAAACACTCTCAGGATTTGTTACTTGTCTGTGGTTTATACTGACTCCGCCTTCTGTTATCATCCGATACCTAAAAAATAGAAACGTTAAATGAGGTAAGACCTGATCATTTTTTAAATTGATTTTATTACTATATTTTTAAAAATTTGCTATAGGGCACAGGCTCGCTAGAGAGAAAGAGAGAGAGACGGACGGACATAGTGAGAAAGCAAGCCACCAGGTCTGGGACTGAACCACAGTCAGCAATGTGGGACTCCAGTGCCTTAACTACCATGCCACCTGGTGGCCCCAGAGAACCAATCATTGTTGACTGCCTGCCACCAAAAAGAAACCATACTTCACTTAAATTTCAGGGGTTCTCCAACTAAAATAATTTAGTGCTGGAGTGTTACTTTCATATTCACTAGATTCTGCCTCACTTTAATGCTCTTAGAAAATAGCAGATAAAAGGTGTAATAGTAGGTTTGTTTAGTGGAGAAAACCAATTTAGTTATGAGTGGGATAGCTCATAGCTCTTGATGGAACCATTTCGTTGGTAGTGGTTTTTAAAATGAAATGGGACCAGACTGTAGCACAGTGTAAAACACAATACCAGGGACCAGCAGTTAGCATAATGGCTATGTTGCTGTACTCCCATGTAGTCAACTATGGTTCGAGTCCTGGACCCGGTGGCTTAAACTCACGCCGGGCATATATGTGTGTGTGCCCAAGATCCCAAGAGGAGAATAGAGTAGAAGGGATTGCGGCATGGCCATTCCCCTGGAGGGTGATTTCTCGCTTTCTGTCTGTCTCTCTGGTGAGCCCACGTACCCTATAGCAAAAACCTCTCAAAACACAAAAACAAAAAAACCACAATGCTTTGTGAGGCTGACACACATGGGAACATTCAGGTTTGCATCTGGAGACCTCACTGAGTACACAAGGCATGGCCTGCACCAGTTCCAGGACTGGGTGGATCACTGTCAATTCTGTTGGAAGTACTGTCTCAGTTTCTCTTGCTCATGTAATACATACACAAACTTTAAAAAAAAAAAAAAATGAAATGAGGGGCCGGCAGGTGGTGCAGTGGTTAAGGCGCTGAACTCCCTTGTGGTCGGTTTGAGTCCTAGACCTGGTGGTTTGAAATTCACGGTGGGAGCATGTGCATGCGTGTCCAAGATTCTGAGAAAAGAACAGAGAAGGGATTTGGATCACTATGCAAATAGTAGCAAGCTGGCAAGAGACATAAAGACAACTAGATGAACAATGACAAACATATTATGATTAAGTGCTATAAAGGACTAAGAGAAGTTGCAGTTGCTCTGGAGGCCCCCTCTCCTTAAAAAAAAAATCAAGAAGACACCAGGCCTGGCTCAGTAACATGCTGATGATAACACTACTCAAGAGAACCCAGATTCTGCATGGCAAGCACAGCTGAAGTCACCAGCACAGTGGACCTGAAATATGTCAGGCACACACACCCAGGATTTGATGGACGGGAGGGAGGGAGTCACAGTGCACCCTCATAGAGGGTGCTTCTTCTCCCTCTGTCTCCCCCTAAAGTGCATATACTCTATTATTTTAAAAAAAAAAAAGATCCAAAAATAGAACAATTCTGTTTTTAAAAGCTACCCATGAAATGTATGACACAGCTACTGTGTTGTTATATCCTAAGACATCGTTAGGGAACTTGCTTATGAAACTGAAATAGCCCTGCAAATTACATTGAGACTATGCAAATAATATCAATTTCTTTTTATTGATAGAGACCATGTTTGTGGAGTGAGGGTGAAGGGGGAAGAAGGAAGAGAGGCACCCTAAACAGCATGTTGTCATGCTGTGATCCCTTTTCTACAGCCCTCCAGGATCCAGGGTGCCTGAGTCAGCCACATGACTTCCAGCCTTACAGGGCACTTGTATTACCACTGTGCTACAATGGCTGGGCCTATAGCAAATGATTATCCCATTTTAACTTTAACTGTATGTATGTATTTATTTTATTTTATTTTATTTTATTTTATTTGACCAGAGAGAGAGAAAATGAGAACATAAAGCTACCAGGTCCATGATTCGACTCACACTTAGCTAGCCATGTGAGAGTCCAGAGCCCTCACGACCACACTACCTGCAGACCCCAGAAACATTTTCTTAAAAACAAAATCAGAGGACCAGCCTGTAGCCTGGTGGTTAAGTGGCTGACCACATGGTTCAAGTTGTGGGCCTGGCAGCTTAAACACACTGGGCTCATGTGTACATGTGCCCCAAATCCCAAAAGGGTGGAAATACAGATTGCAGTGTGGCCCCTGCCCCATGGAGGGGAGTGCTGTGTTCTTCCTCTTCCTCTGGAAAGTCCATGCACCCTCAGGGAAATTACAAAAAAGAAAAGAAAAAAAAACTGAGGGCCAGGTGATGGTGAAGTGGTAACACAACTGCACCCACAGGAAAAGGTCCTGGATAGCAGATTAGGACCCCCTCTAGGCATGCTGGGTACGTGTGCATCCATGATTCAGGCTGGCAGGGACGGACAATGGAACACGGTGTGAAGATGCCGCTGGGGATGCCACTCTGTTCTGTCTTTTGTGGAAGAAATAAACTTTAAAACATATATTTTTAAAAATTAAATTGATTTTAGAAATGGAAAATCAGTAACTGATCTAATAAATTCTAGATTACTAACTGAAATCTGTGACGACACAAAGTATATAGATTGCTTTTTTGCTTGTTTGAGGATTTTGCCATGGGGCATGTGTGCTTGCTGGTGAGAGATGGGACAGGAAAGTGAGAAATCACTCCCTGGGGTGGGAGATGACCATGCTGCAATCCCTTCTCCTCTTGGGATCTTGAGCATGCACGCACACACACCCAGCATGACTTTTAAACTGCCAGGTCCAAACAGTGGTCTGTCATGCGGGAATCCAGTGCCTTAACCACCATGCCACCTGCTGACCCCAAGTATCCATATGTAAGTTTAAGTGAAGTTATCCAATTCAATAAACATTTTTTTTTTCTTTTGGAGATTTTTGCCTTAGAGCACATGAGTTTGCTAGAAAGAGAGAAAGAGAGACAGAGACAGTGAGAGGGAAAGTAGGAAATCATCCGCCTGGGGAGATGGCCCCGGGGGATTACCCTTCTATTTCTGGGATCTTGGGCACAGACACACACATGCCCAGCATAATTTTTAAGCCACTGGTCTGGGACCCGAACCACAGTCAGCCACATGACAGCCCAGTGACATAACTGGTGCCCAATCTGCTGGCCCCAAGCACTGAACTGCAAACTGACAGAAATATATAGACAACGAAATGAACAATGTGATTAAGTGCTATAGAGAAGGATGAGAGGAGAAGTTACTCCAGAGAAACTGATTAGATGGGTACGTGAGGGCTGGAAACATTCCTGAATAAAGAGCACCTTAACTGGAAGTGTAGCAGTTACCTTCACAAAAAGGGAAGGAAACATGGGAGAAGCTAGAAAGAGGTGGGATTTGAGAGGAAGAGAGATTCAGAGCATGAAAGGCTTTTGGAGTCCTTACGAAAGGCAAATGTTGGTTTTCTCTTGTCTGAATGTGCTACCAAATAAAATTAAGGCACTATTACTGAGTGCGGTTTTATACAACAGTAAAATATTTTCTAGTTAAGGAAAGATTTTTCTTTTTGAAAATGCTTGTTTACTGCATGGTTCCTTTCAGATTTTACATCTAGGCTCACCTTTGTTGTAGAGTACTTTAACAAAGAGAAACTGGCATTCAAATATGGCTGGCTGACCAGAGCTGCAGAGGTTTTCTTTTTAGATTTTTGCCATAAGGTACCTGTACTCACTGGACATGGAGAAAGGAAAAATGAGAAATCACCCCCTGGGGGGATGGTCATGGTGCAATCCCCTCTCCTCCAATCTTCTCTCTGGAGTTTTGGGCACACACACACATGACACACAGTATGATTTCTCAAGCCGCTAGGTCCGGGACTTGAACTGTGTTTGACCATGTGGAAGTCCAGTGCCTTAACCACCACACTCCCAAAGACTTTTTTAAGTAAACGTTTCTCATGTATTAGCCCAACACTGAGTTAGGTACCATAAAGAATAAAGACAAGTGGAACAAAATCTAAGCCCTGGGGGAAGAAGTAGTCAGTGAGGAAGAGGGATAGGAAAGCAGAGATGGAGAATTCTGGTTTCTCAAGTAACCAGATCCAGGATTCAAACCAGTGTCAAGACGTTTGACCCAAGATGATCCAAAAGTTGCCTCCACTTGAATTTTCCTTCTCTGGAACTTCTCATGTGGCCATTTCATTTTGCTGTTCTTGGTCTTTATGAAATGGGGATAGGTCACGTTCCCTGTCTTACAAGTCTTGGAAATCAACTAGAAAAACGAAATGTTTTTGCTATAGGACGCATGCAGTTGCTGGACAGAGAGACAGAAAGTGAGAAATCATCTTGCATGGGGGATGGCCATGCTGCAATCCCTCCTCTATTCTCCTCTTGGGATCTTGGGCACACGCGCACCCATGCCCGGTGTGAGTTTTAAAGCCACTCCATCTGGGACTCAAACCGCGATCAACTGTGGGAGTCCACTGATATAACCATTATGCCACTGCTAGTCCTGAGAAATATATTTTATAAACTAATCTCACAATTAGACAAAGCCAGAATTAGACCAAGTATGACATGTGTCGGCAGCTCTTCTCTCTCTCCTTCAGTTCTAGGGCTCCTAGGAAGGTGAGATCCCAGGAGGTGGGCTTTCCACAGCTCTGCTCTGATGTGCATCAACAGTGAGAACCCAACACACAACACACAACACAGCTGGGGCATTTCACAGCAGAGATCAGACAAGTTTCCACTCCTTAATAAAGACGTGCTAGAGATGAGGAGGAGGAGACAAAGACTACTTGTGTGAAGGCAGAAGTCTCACTGCTTGTCATGATTCCCGTTTATTTGTGGTTATGCTCTAAAAATTATTTCCTAAGGAAATTCTTCTTCCACCCATTTCCCAGACTTGCTTTTTCAAGGCATGGATGGGTCGGGGAATATGAAAGATTTGGGTCATCTTAAAGTAAGAGGTTTAAAAGTATTTTGTTGCAGTGACCCAAATCCACACGTGTCATTTCTTTATCAAAATCCCATGTACTGCTCTTGCCTGGCAGTGAATGTTGGGGAGCTGAGGCACAAGTGAGGAGGAAGGGTCTTCCTGAGAGTCAGGGAACGTGAGGGAAGGGAACATGAACATTCACAGGCACCTTCACTTTGTATGGCTCCCCTTCTGGATTTGGCCATAAGGGGTGAAAACAAGTTTTGGTTGTGGGTTTTTCCAAAAGGGTCTGTTGAAAAGATTCTTTAAGAGTACTGGGAAGGAAATTTGTTCTGTAAGGAGAGTAGTTATAAGGCCATATGCGCAAACAAAAAGGATAATTAATCAGCTGCCAAGAAGAGGATCTCTTTCCAAAGAAAGAAATGTGTTGTTTCTTTTAGATTTTTTGCCATAGGGGGTGTGTACCCACAAAGAGAGAAAAGGAAAGTGGGAAATCACCCCAAGGCGGAATGCTGCAGAGCTGAGGCCCTGCATGTGGGTTCTCGGGCCAACAAAATACAGCCAAAGACCTCTAATGTCATCCCAATTCAAAAAATTTGGACACCTCTAATGTCAACCCAATTCAAAAAAATTGGACACCTACTTGAAGACCACTGGGTATTTCATATCACTTTCTGCATTCAATCTGCTACAAATATCTCACGTCCTGCAGCCTGGACACTGCTGTATGTCGACTAGAAAGCAGACAGCATGTGAGTAGACTGCTTCCTTTCAGGAAATAGTATTTTAGGCTCTTTGCTACAGTTTCCGGATCACATTCTACATTTTGTTTAAATGTAGGGAACAATGGGACTTAGGTTGTAGAACATAAAAAATACAACCATGGGACCAGCAGATGGCGTAATAGCTACATCACTGGACTCCCATGTAGTCAGCTATGGTTTGAGTCCTGGACCTGGTGGCTCAAACTCATGTCAGGCGTGTGTGTGTGCGCCCAAGATCCCGAAAGGAGAATGGAGAAGGGACTGCGGTGTGGCCATCCCCCCAGGGGGTGATTTCTTGCTGTCTCTCTCTGACTTTCTGGCGAGCACACCTGCCCTACAGCAAAAACCTCTCCCCAAAAAAATGTTATCAGGGGCCAGACAGTGGCATGGTAGTTAAGGCAGCTGGATTCCACACGGCCGACTGTGTGGTTCAATCCCCAGACCCAAATGGCTTGAAAAACAAGTTGGTACATGTGTATCTGTGCCTAAAACCCCAAAAGAGGGAAAGACAGAGGAGAAGAAATTGTGGTACGACCATCTCTCATGGGGGTTGCTTTTCTAGCCTTATCTCTCTGTCTCTCTCCAGCATGCGCACACAGCCTCTGTCAAATTAAAAAGAAAACAAATGGGGCCAGCAGGTGGTGTGGTTAAGGTGCTAGACTCCCACATGGTTGACTGCAGTTCAAGTCCTGGACCTGACGGCTTGAAAATCATGCTGGCACGCCCAAAATCCCAGGAAAAGAATGGAGAAGGAACTGGGGCACAGTCAACCCTCTGAAAGATGGTTTCTCACTTTCCCTCTCTCTGTCTCTCTCTCTAATGAGCACATCCGCCCTATAGTAAAAACCTAAAGAAAAAAAAAGCATCAGGAAATCGGCCTCTCTGGAAACACATGCTGTGAATCACAACATTTAATGGTGAATTAACTGTGAATTCAAAAGTGAAATAATCTTACCCTCGGGGGCCGTCTGGAATGGCATTTGCTTTGCGGCATGTATCTAGGACACTTGTTCCAGGGTCAAGAACTAATTCAGAAAATGAAGCTTCTTTAAACAGCTCTTTTAACTCCTGATCAGACATGAGCTCCAGCGCGTCTATGCTACTGTGATACAGGGCTTGTGTACACCTGGAAACACATCGAAGACTGCGTTAGGTAAGGGCTCACTCCAGTACCTGCCCTAGTCCCTACTAACCAATCAGGGAGCATCACTCTGTCTTAGAGTAGTTTTTCAAACAGCAACATCTATCTAGTATATTGTATAATTCATTAACTTAATCCAAAATCATCTTCCCTTCCAGTAAACAGGAGCTATTTTAAAGCACTGAAGTCAAACACTGACAATGTCTGTGGGTGACAAACAGCAAGCTAATCCTCGGTGTAGCTCCAATCTTCTCCAGGCTATCGCTAAACGTTATGATGTGTTACTATTGTAAAAGCCCACCTTTTAGCAGAGCCCAGTCCTTCCCGCCCATGAACGAGCTTGGTCACTTCTGCAGCCAGCCGTTTCTGGGGAGCCCGCTTTTCTGGCTCTTTGATGTGCAGCTGCATAATGTGGTCAATTTCTGGAAGAGGCAGAAAAGTGAAGAGCTTCAGGTACCTTTGGGACAAAACATAAAATGTTACATATATTGCATATGTAATTTTTATTTCCTGCCCCTTACCCTTTATAAAAATTCTGCTTATAATTTTTTTTAAGAGAGATTTTTTTTTTTTGCTATAGGGCGTGTGTGCTCACTGGAAAGACAGAGAGAAAGAGAGACAGAAAGCAAGAATTCACCCCCCAAGGGGGATGGCCATGCCACAATCCCTTCTCCTCTCAGGATCTTGGACATACATGCACACGCACCTGGTCTGAGTTTAAGCCACCGTGTCAGGGACTCGAAACATGGTCGACTATGTGGGAATCCAGCAACGTAACTATTATGCCAACTGCTGGTCCCAAATTTTCCATTTTTAACTATGAAACATAAAAAAAATGTGAACAAACACACTGAAACTAATCTGACAGCCACGGACCTGTACTTCTTCTGTGAGCCTGATGACATGGGAAGGTTTGACATTGGTGTCTAGACACGTC